TTAGCTATTATAATAACAGCAGCAAGCGATTGCTCCGTTCACATACTCAGCGCTCTGCGCACTGTATTCTCCCTGGTTCTTGACTGTCAAGCGTGAGTGTTGCTCGTGTGTGTCTTTGGGAACTAATTATTTTAAAATAGTCTCTTTCAATTGCAAGTTTTGTAATCTGTTTGTTTGATCAATGGATAAAAATAAATGCAATTTAATTAAATGGCACCTTGGCCTGTCTTATACCTGTTTGCCTGCAGGAAAGTTCCCTAAACTAACATATCATACTAAAATAGGGTGGGGTTGTTGCAACAATTAATCTACTTAGAAGTTATCCTAAATTACAGCCAGCTAAAGCTCGGTACCACGACAAACGAAAAAGTAACGCAATAGTTACTTTTACTGCTAACTAGTTACTTTTATAGTGGAGTAACTCAGTTAGTAAGTCAATTACTTTTTGGAAGAAGTAACTAGTAACTATAACTAATTACTTTTTCAAAGTAACTTACCCAACACTGGTCATTATATTTGATAATCTCATTTAACTTCAATTGGAGTGGATTTGAAATAGAATGTTAAACATGCGATTAATCGTGAGTTAACTCACCATTACTATGCGATTAATCAACTAAAAAAAATTAATCGTTTGACAGCCCTAATATATATACATACTATATGTGTGTGTGTGTGTGTGTGTGTGTGTATGTGTGTATATATATATATGTGTGTATATATATATGTGTGTATATATATATATGTGTGTATATATATATATATGCGTATATATATATATATTGCGTGTATGTATATATATGCGTGTATGTATATATGTGTGTATTCATTATTTTATAATTGATTTTTAGTCCTCGTCTTTGATTTGTTGTGCCGCTTTGGTCCTCCATATTATGTTCATATTATGTTCATTTTGTGACCAGATAAAAGAACGCCTCAAAATCTTGTCTCCCGTGTGTTCCTCCGCACCACAACAGAAATTAACACGACGCAGAGCGGAGAAAATCAGACCCGCTATGGCATATCTGTTTATTCCTCTATCGAGTTTAAAGCACTCCTTCAAACAACATAAACCGCTAAAGTCAAGTGCCCCGGTGTCCTGTACCATCACAGCTGCAAGCAATGAATACAACAATTTGACAAATCAACATGGAATCACTCTTAAATCTCATCGTGAAATGCAATATAGATACAAAATATACAGGCCACAATAACATTCTGTTAAAATTGACCCTTTGCTCTGCAATAGGGTGGGCAACCGTCCCGTAAAATGAGGAATTGTCCCGTATTTTAGATAAACTATGTTCGTCCCGTATTGAATCGATACGTGACGGCTTTTGTCCCGTAATTTCAGAGCCGCCTTAAATACATCAGTCACTCACTGCGCGACACACGCACTCACAGTTTAAGCGTCTACCTTTTGGCCAATCAGTGTCAAAGAGGGCGTAGGCTCGATCACATCCATGGGCTTAAAGCTGCACTAACTCACTCTGTGAAATTTTCGAATGCGAACGCTGGCCTCGCTCTTTCTGCTCGCACTCACAGAGCTATCAACCCCCACTACCCCCCTCCCACTCAGCCTGTGCTCATGTCCTGTTGTTTACGGAGCTCACGTCTCACAATATGGATCGCACATTTGAATGTGGATGGCGTGACCATAGAATGATAGAACCGGGAAGCGCTGAGGAACAAGACTTTCTTTTGGATGGCTTTTTCGCTGAGTAAGCAGTAACCGGTAACAAAGACATGGGATGTTTCAGGTTAGCCTCCGCCACTTGTTTACCTCAGCTGTCTGTGCTAACGAGAGACCTGTGTCTTTTTTCAAGAAAGAGAAAGCGGGGGCCAGTGGTCCGCTGTGATTGGTCACAATCTGGTCCCGAAACAAATTCTCTTCCTTGTTGCACGAAAACTCGGATATAAAATAAAATGACACGCTAGTACAAATCTGCGCTACTTTTTCTTCAAAAGGACATATATCCCAATACACTGCATGGATATGGACTGAATTTTCGTAATGAATACAAAAATAAAGTGAGATCCATCCATCCATCCATTTTCTACCCTTTAATCCATTTCTGGGTCAGGGGGGTTAAGTGTCTTGCCCAAGGACACAACGACAGCAGTCATCAGTGCGAGTCGGTGGAGAAGGTGTGGAGGTGGGAAATGAACCCACGACCCTCAGGTCTGAAGGCCAGTGCAAATAATAAAAAAATGTATTATTTATTTTTTTAGCAAATAAATTATTATTGACAACATTATCTTGTCAACTAGATAATGTTGACAAGTGGCAGCGTGGGCCGCTGCCGCAGCATCATCACAGCAGAAGTTTGGTAAAGTTAGCGTCAGATTCGGACTTCCTCGGTCATTAGCTCACAAAAGCCACTTTGTTAAACAAAAGTAATTGTGCCAAAATGATCAAATTTACATCGATTGTTCAAATCCAATGCGCTGTTAATGCAGTGAAAAGCGCTTGGGGAGTGTCAAAAAATGTCAAGAACAGCTTTGTAAACGAACAATAGCTTCTACTGAAGCCATGTACACGCACTAAACTCTCAGACACTATGAATAATGACCATATCTAACTGCTACAGACTTTGATATCAACATTTGTGAGTTTTTTACATTTTAAATGAATACATGTGTTTTTCTTTTTGTTTTGCCTATTGTTTTTGCTCGAGAGATGTCAAATTCTGCACTTTGAGCCTTAATATCACCCCCTGAACATGCATGAAAAGTTGTAAAATTTTGCTCAAACATCAGACCCGGTGAAAAATTTGATATTTTGGTGTTTATTTTTATGGGGCTCAAAAAATGCCAGAACAGCGCCACCTACAACAGCCAATGGGAGTTTCAGAGGTCAAGTTTGTCGTAGAGCCATGAAATTCGGTACACATGTTCCTCAAGTCAAGATACGACCAAAATGTTATCATGGCTCCGCCCTCTGACAAACAGGAGGCCCATAAATTTCACTGCAAAATGGAAAAATTATCCTCAATAATTTTTATACATGGTTGGTTGGAAATCTTCTCCTCGGCCGTTTCACCGATTCGCCTCAAAATCGCTCCACATCATCTCAACACATGTACCTTGAAAATGACTTCGCCGATTTTTCATCAGTGAAACGTTGTTCGAACAGGGGAGCTGCAAAATGTGACATTTTTTTGGCCGTTTTGGACAATATTAAATTTGCTCCCGTTTGCACAAACAAAGTCTGATTTGCACAATCAGACTTTCAAGTTCAATCAATGTTCAACTCCAGGGTTTTGGTCAGGTGAAAGTTAAATATTTGAAATTGGCCTATTAGCGCCCCCTACAGATTGAGGCAAAGTTTTACATGGGGTGCTAAACAGCTCTTATCATCATATTCATTACAATTTGACTTTCTTCTATGGCTACAGCAACAAATCATCACACGGCGGCCCCACCTCCTTTGCGCGGTGCTGCGTGGTACGGTGTGTTGCGGCGTAGAGCGGGGCGTTGTGGAGCGGTGCGGGGCGGCGTGGTGCAGATCCGCGTGGTGCGGGGCGGCTTGATGCATGGCGGCTTGGTGCGGGGCGGCTTGATGCGGGGTGGCTTGATGCGGGGCGGCTTGGTGCGGGGTGGTGCGTGCGGTGCGGCAAGGGCCGTTGGACGCCGCTTGTGGCTTTAATTTTATTTTAAATAGCTTTTACAGTAAATGGTTTTTACTGTTACAGCATTAAACTTGGGAGGACTGAAGATACAGCGGACCGGGTCCTATACAAGCAGGCTCCAAGACCAGACAAGACCTGAACAAACAACTTAATCATATGCTAATTTGTGATGAGTAATTTATGCCTGGACTTGAATGTGGAGACCGGTCTGCTTCTTAACGTGGAGGGAAGCTGATTACAGTAAGGGAGCTTTGGTAGCATAAATGACTCTGCCACCGACAAGCTTTTTGAGCCTCACAGTGGAACCACCGGACGTCTGGTGTTTTGCGATCCTTGATGGTGTATTCTGAAAGCTCTTCAAAGAGGTTTTAGGACACGCTGCCAATAAAGTGTTACAATAGTCAAGCCTGGAGGTGACAAAAACGTGGATCAGTTTTTCTGCGTCACTTCTTAGGATGATATCCGTGATTTTAGCATTGTTCCTTATTTATGCAAGTGGAAATACGACGTTTTAGTTGCTCGCCTGAAGGAGAGTTCTTCGTCGAAATTACTCCAAATTCCTCACGGTGTTGCGGGTATAATTCGACATTATCGAGAGTGATTATCTGGTCAGCGAGGAGTCTCGTTAGGCGCTTTGGACCGTGTACGGATCACTTCTGTCTTCTGCTGGGTAAGAAGTAGAAAGTTAGCGAAGTCATCCCGTTTAAGTCCTTTAGGCAGGCATGAGCCTTACTACTAGAACTCCCAGGGACTTCAGTTTGACTCGGACCAGTCCAAGACCAACACCTTGAGTCAAATTGACTGCTTTGGGAGTTCTATTGTTAATGGAATAAAGTGTTGTGGTAGTGGATAGGTTTTTCTTTATGTCTGTTTTATTTTCTATGCAAAGTTGTGCATATATGTATTCTACATGGGAACGCAGTGAGCATGACTAAAATAAAGAAAAAAGGAATGTAGGATTAACTTGCAAACACACTGCAAATAATGGCAAAAAACTCGTCAAAACTTGTTTAAAATGGACACGAATCAAGGTAAAACTATAGTACACCTTTTTACAATTTAAGAATACAACTATCACCACTCACTATATTCACTATATTAAAATGTATTAAAACTCAGAAAGTTTTTTTTTCATAAGGATTTGAACCATACAAAATCTGACCAAGTCTACCTCAAACAGTTCACCTCCTCCTGGCTGTCTCGCCACTTTCAATTTCTAATACAATCACTCTGTTTCTGTGACACAAGACAAATTAATTAGGAGGAAAGCTCCCATTTGCTCACAACTCGGACCGTTCCCAACATGAGGTCACTGGACGAAGACGTAGATAAATGAGAATGTCATATCCCATTTGGAGACAGGCTGCAATGCTGTCAGAGGCCAGCAGAGGGCCCTGTACACTCACAGCTGACAGGTGTGTGAGTGTGTGTGTATAGAATTACATTAGAAAATGATAATGAATTCTATCAAACAAAAGGTGGTGTATAATTGAAAGTAGACGCCAGAGACCACCACGTGTGTAAAGGTGTGTATATCAAGTGTTGTAGCCACAGATAATGTTTACCTTGGATGGACAATGCCAACCCACTATCTCAATGAAGCCCAATATTGACTTACATTACTGAGCCAGAGGAATCTGTTTTTCAATCGTTTGTGTCACACTCACCATTTTGGGTTTGGAAATCTGTGGTTTAGCGCTCTCTGTGATCTTGGTGTTTATATTTTCATATTGTCCAGATATGATCCACTCAGCCACCGTGCCGCAAAAGATTATTTGTATAGCACAGATCATACACAAGGCAACTCAAAGTGAACAAAACAACAAGGCAATAATAAATAGTCACAATAAATTAAAAAGAGTAAAGATAAAGAATATTTTCAACACTGTATACCAGACATGTCCAAATTCGGGCGCTGGACCCCTTTACGGCCCTCAGTGTCATTTTATATGGCCCTCTGCCTTGCTAACCCAAAGTAGCAATATCACAGTAGCAATGTCACAATATCATAAACACAAGTTCTCTGTGTCATCCATCCAACTTCAGCTGAGCCCATATAGACATGTCATAACTTGTTCTAAAGCCCAGAACTTCTGGAATTCAGTTGTTGTTGTTATTTGTACACACTGTCCCCATGATGCCGTGGTAAGAACTCTGGTATGTACTATCTTCAAAGTCTGGTGCACACTGGGGTAGTCTTGTACACACTGGGGTAATCTTGTACAATTTTCCCAATGTGGTTTTACTGCAAATGGCAAATCAATTCTTCTGTACTGACAAGGTTTTTTGACTGTGTGACAAACTTTCGTTAATGGTGCTACTGTAGTTGGAAGGATGGTAAACATGTGTCATTCAGTAAACAGGGGCGAAAGTGGCTCAGTTGGTAGAGCATTGGCCTTTGGGGCTGGAGGTCGTGGGTTCGAGCCCACCATGAGACCTACTTCAAGACCCCGGCTGATGACTGCAGTTTGTTGTATTTAGTGAGTGGTGATAATGGTTTGAATGCAGAATAGTGAGAAGAAGTATGAAGAGGAAAACGTGAACAATTCAATACTAGAAATAGGACGGACAACAACCCTCAATCGGCTGATCAGCCATGTAATGGTTAAAATGGTGCTTACTTTCAATATTTACTTATTTTTTACTGACTGTTGCACTGAGACAAAGTAATTTCCTAATCTGTGACGTCCTGTTACTTACATAGCAATAAAAAATATTCTGATTCTGATATGAATGATAAAGTTGAAGTCATTTTTTTATGGATATCAAACTCGCTGTTGCCATTTTTGTTCTGTGTTTACTATCAAGTGCTTGGCAGTTCATAAAAAAACATTGACCCATTGTTAGTGCTACAATTATTACCTCCTCTACAGGTTTTTTTGTCTGTCAACAACGCAACTGAAAATGTTATTGGCAGATTTTTTTGTTTTAATTCAGGAAACCCTGAATGGCATAAAGGGGACAAGGAACAAATTATTAGGATTTTTTTAAGGTATGAAAACGTAGTGAAATACAGGAAAAATCCAAAATGCAGGAATGTCAAAATAATATGATTTAATCATCAACTAACTCAAGAGTCCAAAGAGTACAAACTAAACAACCCAAACAGTTGTGTTACAAGTGCTCTTCTAGTTACTGCAATATTGTTTTCCTTACAGTCTTTCCTTGTTCTATTTCATAATTCTACTTGGCCTTGAAGTCTGTTTGTCTGTTGGTCCTGCCGAGTACATGACAGCGTTCATATTTCACATCGCTGCTGGTGCTGGGTCCCATACATATTATATGAGAGTGTAACCTACATCTCTCCAAACTCATGTCAGCTGGGCCCCAGATCAAAACACTCTGTATATTTGCTCTTTATGAATGTCTGAAGTTCAGTTTGTTGTATCAGAGTCAAAGGACTGCAACTAAAGTGTTTTTCTAGATTATGATACGGCAAACAATATTGGTTAATTGATTAATGGTAAAGATTGAGTCTGTATAATATTTGTTTATGTATTAGTTATGTTTCCTTGTAGCAGGCCCTAGTGAAAGAATGGATGTAAAAGGGCTGTTAAACTGTCTATACAGCCTGATAAAGCACAAGAGCATGTGTTTGTGATGGGAGAGGATGGGCACATGTACAGACTTATTGCAACATGACTCATATTATTGAGTGAGGTTTCTAGGAGGCTATACATACAATAATATTCTCTTTCATTATTTACAGATCCTGATTGGGGAAGTGACCAGTTTCTTTGTCAAATCCGATGGGGCCCAGGAGAAGACCATTGTGACCGCTGACTGCTGTTATTTCAACCCTCTTCTTCGGCGAATAGTGCGTTTTCTAGGTCAGTATCCATCTTCAGCATCACTCTACCCATAACATGCTAATAACCAGTAGTTAAACCAGGAGGAAAAATTAGTCATGGGAAGTACCAATGATTTTTATCTGACATTGGGTAATTTTGTTACTTGATAACATGAAAATATTTATATCTAAATTATCTAATATGAAATTATAGTCTTATAAAATTATATGATATGATAGCACATTCCAGTCAATATCCCTGATTGAAGAAAAGCCACTATCCTTTTGCATGCATTCTCAAAACATGTATTTTTTGGTTTTGGCTGCCCATTCTTTAAAGCATATTTATTATTATTATTAAACTTTATGAAAACATCACACAAAAACAACAACATATTAACTTGAATTTCAGTATTTTCTTATCTATAAAGCAACTAACCGTTTTTTTCATAGTAAGAAACAATGTTAATGTTAAATCATTAATTAATATATATTTTTTCAGCAACACACTTTCACTTCTTCTTCAGGTGTGTACTCCTTTGGCCTTTTCACCACCACCATCTTTGCAAATGCGGGTCAGGTGGTGACAGGAAACCAGACACCGCACTTCCTGACCACCTGCAGGCCAAACTACACCGCTCTGGGTTGCCAGTCCCCTTTGCAGTATATCACCGAGCGGCGGGCGTGCACTGGCAACCCCTACCTAGTGGCATCTGCACGCAAGTCCTTCCCCTCCAAAGATGCCGCTCTCAGCTTCTACTCTGCCATTTACACAGTGGTAAGCTTCTCTGCAAATACGACACTGTTCTAACCATAGATTGTGAATAGATGGACAAACTCTGCCTTTTGCTCAATTAAGCCTTTTACGAAGGTTTTGCTCCAACTCCCTTTGCCTCCCATTGATTTACCATTACCATTTTGGACTTAGCAATCAGTGATGTAGCGCTCTGTATGACCTTGGTGATTTTATTTTGATATTGCCTTTGTAAATTCAGTGTTGAGCCCTGACAACTGACCAATCAGAGGCCTTCTGTTCCTGAATTTGGCTTGAGTTTGCAAACCAGAACGACCCAGCCCTAATCCTGATTGGCTCTTTGGTTGCTTAGCCATTACTACTACTTCTTTTGGCTCCAGACTAGCTCCTCCACAATAATCAAACAATATGGTGGCATCAGCACTAGACCATTACTTCTACAGTCTATATGTGTAACTTTTTTAACATACTGACAATGGCTGTGTTTGCAGATGTATGTGACCCTGGCGTTTCGGACTAAGGGAACCCGTCTGTCAAAGCCTACACTGTGTTTGGTGCTACTATCGCTGGCTGTTCTCGTGGGCGTCGTACGGGTCACTGAACATAGAAATCACTGGAATGATATCTTGGCTGGGTTCATCACCGGAGGGGCCATCGCAGCGTTTTTGGTAAATAAAATCAAGCAAACGCCAATGATTAGTTTTGGTTCTTCCTTAACTGAGCATGTTTTTCTGTACATCAGGTGTCATGTGTGATCAACTACTTTAAGCAGACCCAGACTGCGTCACAAGCCACACAAGCTTCTCAGCGGCCAGAGCCCCCCACTGGGATACCCTTACTCAGTCTGCCCCGTGTGGAGAGTCCACTCGAAAAGTTAAGTGGCCTCCAGGTAAGGGGAGGGATGCCATATGAAAAACTGGACAGACTACATAGACTGTACCATTAGGTAAACTTATTGTCTGGATATTTTACCCTCATTTTTTGCTTGTTATTGTTGTCATGTGTTGTCCATTTTGCCCCCCTGTGTTTGGACAATGTGGAAGAATTTTGGCTGATGATGTTTCTCTCTCGTAGGCTCCAGGGTTACCGTATTCTGAGATCACATGACCCTCAGCCAACCCCGAGCCCCACCCCGCCCGACGTTCTGCTTCCCTCAAGACGTTGCCTCACCAGCGCAGTCTAGACCTGCCTATGGAGTGCCCCGCTCCATGCCCCGCTCCATGCCCCGCCCACCCTGAAGGACGGCACCCTCTGAGACGAGTCAAGTCCACTCAGGTGTGAGAATTTATCCCGAGATGAAAGAGGCAAATCGCGCCACTTTTTCAGAACCACATCGCCCGGAGCAGAGATTACTTTGTGTGACCCGGTGGAGGTTCGTCCAAGTCGAAGTTATGAAGCAATACTGTGTCTCTTTCTAGTTCTTTTCTACTAATCAGCTGTTCATAAAGCTGGTGACAAAAACACTGAATTTCATCTCAACAAAGCTGCTGAGTTCTTAATCACTTGTGGCTCGTCATCAAAAGACTTTGTAACTCAGGACCATATGATGTTGAATCGATCCAGTGCAACAACCGACTTGTGTTTTATCAAAGCAGGAATCAGTGACGCTTTTTGGACTGTTTATCTGTATGAATCACAACGAGCAGAAGGACTCTTTCAAAGAGGGAAAGCACTTTGCAAGATTAAAGCACAGTTGAACAAGAGATTGCAGCAAAATGCAGTCCTGTATGTTTTTTGAGATCTGCATCAAATCTACTTTTTAACGGATTAAAATAGTTATTAGATATAAATATGAGAGAGTCGGATGTACCGGTTGATTCCTCACTCGAGTGAAATGTACCAGGTTTTTATCAACTAAACAAACTTTAATCTCAGATATTCTCGATGTCTTTGTCCATGTCCACTTTGTGAAGTAAACACAGTTAATTTATCTTTCTGTCTTAAGTGTGGTTTCATGGAAGTTCTAGGATGCATTTTATATATAAACTTAGCATTTTTACTTTTATCCAAATGAAGTTACTCATTTGCAGCAGTGTTCCATAGAATATGCCTTTTTCTATCAATTGCTATAGACGTATCTAGCCTCTCATAATTCTTTCAGTTTCAGGAGGTTGGACCTTCGATCTTTGTATAGTAGTGTTATAGTGTACATTTTATAGGTTTTTTTATTAAGTATTTCCACACTTAAATGAGTCTTGTACATGAAATGCATAAAGCTACACCTGGATTTGTTTTATGGTCGTCATAAGGAGTTTACAGCGTAATGGAGAGCAGGGTAGAGGAAACAGCACAGAGGCTATATAATAGAAAGAAGACTATGTGAAGCTGTCATTATGATTTTGTGTGTGAGTTTGACTGTCTGCACTTATGGAGAGGTGTGTGTTTGTAATGATGAGTTCACAGTATGGCAGCGTAACTGTTAATTTACCAATCTGTTTCGTTAGGTAAACTGTCAAAAAAGTAGCTGCTATAATTACACCCTGGTGATTGTGTGACTCTGAGGACTCTGTTATAGCAGCGCGTGTTCATTGCAGCTCAGCGATTATCTTCAATTTACCAATATTACATATCGGTTTTGTATTTACTTGGCAAAATAAATAAGAATTAACCTTTTTCTCTGCTCACTTCTTTTTGTTATCAATAGTCTTTAAACACTGTAGGCCTATTAAAATGTATCCATCCATAGTAATAACAATCTCTTCCACATCCCTGCGTACAATGCCAACCTAAACTATTAAGTTATAAACACAATTTGGAAAAGCCAGTGCTGCCCCACAGTGGACACTATACCATACAGCAGTTTTAGAGGCAACTCTGTAATGCAATATTTCATATAAATCAGAAAAATATTTCAATTGTAGCTTGTTTTGTAGTTGGGTATAAGTCTATTTTTAAGTTACCCCATGTAAGTTTTTGGAGTTGGTGTTAGAAGGTGAAACATAGATACCTCCATTGAAATAAATCAGTTTAATTCCAAACTGTTGAAGATTATAGCACACAAGAGAAATATCTAAAACTACTTACTGCTCCCGGCTAAGTACAAGAAGTCAGGTGTATATGAAAACTCACCATAAGGACACACGTTCATGAATTTCAGTGTCATAAGACTGTCAAATAAAAAAATAATAAAAAAAAGCAAAACACGCTTTTATTCTGTCTGGTTTCCATTAAAAACACACCATAACATATGTTTGTTCTGACAGAAAGAATCTTGTAAAGGTAATTTATGTGCACAAATGAGACCACAACTGTTCTGTTGCTGTCTTATTAGAAAAATTGGAGAAAACAAAAATAGTCAATAGGTGTGGCTTTAGAACATAACAACCACGAAAACTTGCCTTTTGCAGTGTGCTACAGTGACCGCAAGATGGCAGCAGTAACCACGCAACGATGGGAGCTTGCTTTACTCCACGATTCCGTTTTAGTAAGTCAAATATTCAAAACAATAACTTACAATAGCCTCTAATATTGCACTTTATTAGCCTCATCCCCTCTTCCCCTCGTCTCTCTCTCTCTCTTCTAATTGGTCCTTACCGCGCCCTGTCTCTGTGGTGCTTTTTCAGAGTTTGTCAGTCTTGTTAATGACAAGACACGCACAGACCGCACTGACTCATGCACACTCAAACAGAGGACTCCGTGCACTTTCTCAACAACATTATCCTTTCCGGAAATTGCCTCTCAAGCGCAGCCGAAGCCCCATTAGAAAAGAAGAGCTCTACGCTGTAACCTTTTTAAAAAACCATTAGTGATGCACCTGCTTCTCTGCCTCTCTCTCATCCTCTCTCTTGTTTTCTATGTCCTATTTGTCTCTCTTGTTAACACTGACACACACACACACACACACACACACACACACTGAGTGACTGCCACAACCCCCCCTACCACCTCACCCCTTTTCCCCCTATAAAACAACTGACTACACTCCACTTCAATCAGCTTGTGAATCACCAGCAAAAACACTCTATGTAATAGTTTATTCTAATGGGTTTTGACTTAAATCACAATGGCCTATAGACAGGAGTAATTCGCTCCATAATGCACGGAAAAGAGGAGGATTGCCTAAATGAATGTAATAATAATGTCATGTCATAGTAGGGGAGAGACCTGGCAGCTGCACAATTATGCAAGAATCTTGACAGCTGAGAGGAGAAGATAGTGGCTGCTGTTTTGAGGGTGAATCAGGGGGTTTGATTGGATCCAATGAGAAGAAACATTTTCAGGATATATTCAGGTGACTTTAAAGCTGGAGACGTAACTTCAAACCTACAGTACCAACAAATTTAACTCCAGTCGGTTGTGAAAAAATGGTTGATGAACTATTTCACATTTTGTCATGATACGACTACCAACCTCAATTGATTTTGAATGTGTTTTACTGACCACAATAAAGTAACTGTTGAAATGAAATGTAAATTAGATAATCTGGGGTTTGCATATATGACTGTACGGCGTGTGTAAATACTGAAATCCTCAGCTCCAGCAACTTCTATGATATTTTGTTCCATAATAATTGCTTAATTATCCTTCCAATCCACTCTGATGTTCTTGTCTCCTGTGTCTGCTGAAGAAAAGCAGCCCCATAACATGCTACCACCCCCATATTTGACTCTGGGGATGACGTGCAGTGTTAGTTTTGTTATATTTTGGATTTGGACCAAATTTTTACATTTCAATGCATCTTCTTCCACATGTTGAAAGTTTTCCCCGCTTTGCTTCTTGTGGCGTAAAATCAACACTGTAGTTCTATTCACCACTCGTCCATAAGGGCCAGATTTGTGTAGTGTATTATCTGCAGCTCCTCCAGAGTAACCATGGGCCTCGTATCTGCATCTGTGATCAGTATTTTCCTTGTTCTAGCTTGGTTGAGTTTGGACAAACACCTGAGTTTTGGTACACTTTCAGTTGTGCCATGTCCTTTTCATTCCCAGATGATTGATGAAGCAGTGCTCAGTGAGGACATTCTGTCATGGTGTGGATTTTATTTTTGTAATTGTATTTTATTTTGAAATTGGTCTTGTGGTTTGGTTTTAGTTTTAGTTTTGCTTCCTGTCTTGTTCCCCAGTCTTGATTGTCTGCCCCGCCCTGATGTGTTTCACCTGTGTCTCTGTGTGTCTATATGTACCCTGTGCTTCTCTCCCCTTGTTGCTAGTCCATTGTATTGTCAATGTCTTGTCCACGTCTGTTCCTGTTTTGTTGCTGCTTGTGCCTTTGGATTTTGAGTTTTAACCTGGACTTTTATTTTGTTTTCATTAAATGTTATTTTTTTGGCATTCCTGCATTTTGAGTCCTTCCTTCATTCACCTCCCCCCGTGACACATTCTTTAAACTTCTCGGGGCTTCCTTGGACTTTGTGACGCTGTTTATTGACCAATACACCCCAAACATAACTCAGAGGCATCACAGAACGTAGTGAGAGCAGAATACACACAGACAGCCTATATCTAATTGTTAGGGCCAGATGTGAGGATTCAGCATTAGGTCATTTTCAAAGTTTGTGTAATGCCTCCAGGGAAGTGCTAGTCACTGATACACAACCCAAATTTCAGTTTGGGATTATTTATTTTCTTTTTAAATACTTGTATTATTTTGTACATGAAAAAACTCACTCTATGTAGTAAAATCCATCTTATTAGTTCCTCGCTCTCTAAAACAGTCTGGTTCTATCACTAGTTTTCACATTATCCATTTTTGGATCAGATTTTTTCAGACATAAATCTGAGCACCACCCTCACCATCCAAACAGCTGTCAACCCAAAGTGTCAACTAGTGACTAACAGGGCTCTTTCTTACAAGTATGATTTCTGATTAGTTTTCTGATAAGATAAAGGCATGCTGTCTTCATCTATTTCCGTGTGAATAAAATATTGTAGCACTTATTTTTGGACAATTTTTGCAGATTATTACCCACATTTTAACATGCTAGATGAGGATTTTGTATGTGATAATTACGTATGTGTCAATCCTTGTGTTTTTTTTCCACAACCCTCACTTTTGATATCATGACATGCCGACTGGTTAATCTTTTCAAAAATGCAATATCGTTGATGATATTGACAATCAAACCATCCCTGAGTGATGTGTCTTCAATTTTTGTTTGACATATTGCTCCCAGCAACGATATAGATTTTCGACACCCGTCCTTCCAATTTAGTGCCTGAATCAATGTACCTCAGCTGGCGGATGAGTCTTTATTGTCTGCACAGAGAAGGATCAGGATAAACAAACACACATTAGAAGCCCAATTACAATAATAACAACAAGTCGAAATAGCAAATCCATGAGGCCTGGAATCAAGAGAACATGCAGACTATAAGCTATTTGCCATATAGGAGAGAAGAGTGTGTTTTATCTCATGCCTCCCCGGGCTAATAAAAATGTACTGTCTGTCATGGCTAAATTACAAATATTGGTCTTTGCCTTGCTGCAGTCTCCTGATTATGCTCAGTGGTCTGCCTCTGACAATTATAAACCCATTAACACTGTGTGGACTGCACTCACAGAACCCACATCTGTTTTCTGAGCGAGTCATGAAATCCACATCCAAAGCACCATGACAAAACCAATGCATTTTGCAGCATGCTTTCAGAGAATAATTATCCATCTATGGGCCCTATATGGAATTATAATGGCCATAGACCCCAAGGGACCAGATTAGAAGTGTCAACAAACTAGAATCTCCCTCTCAACCCCCATTATAAAACATACAAGGGCCATGTTTCCATTACACCTCCAACTAATGACCAACTTGAGAGGCTTTGCAGCAGCGCACCGTCCGTTTATGAGCACCACAATAGAGTGCAACACAAACAATGGCACATTTATTATTCTAATTATGCTTCATGAATGTTTTAGCGCGTGTGAAATTGAAGGGAATGCATATAAAACAATTAACAAGCCTTTTTATTATTGAGATTGTACTTTTGAAAAGGTTTGGTTCATTATGATGTGATTTACCGGAGTGTTGTAAGCAGATTACACACTGTAAAGGCAAAAGCAAACTGACACGTGGAGATTTGCTTTGGAGATAGATCAATATTATATGGTAATAGCATTAAAGTCTTATGGAGCAGGGACCAAGACGCGGCTGAGGTGATTTGTTGCATGGCTATTGCACAGAGTTGCAATGTACTTTACTATTCTGTCCATCCCCATTATAAAGGTGTGTAGAGAGGAGGAGGCAGCGCAAAAGAGCCTCACTGGGACTATCCTAATAAATATGTAATGTCTGATTTATATTTTTCCACATTGTAATTATACTACACCATGAAACACCATGGCAACACTGGGCTCTCCACTGACTTTGAACAGTTTTTATGGTGCTCAAAAACATACATATTTAATGAAAACATGAGAGGGGAGCACAGGTTTATGGCCTGCAGGCATCTAAATTAGACAGTCAAACTGATGTAAATGTCGCCCTGGCTGTGATCTTTACTTTATTCTTTCATTATGTTTATTTTATTTATCTTTTAATCTTCTTTCTGACAGTGCCTTACCCATCCAAATCATGCCTGTGTTTTGAATTTTTATTTACGCCATACTCAGAAATACATTTATCAAAAACCTATTGTATTGTATTACACGTGGCACATTCTGAAGGCGCTGAATGAATGGGCTGGGCCGTGTGGGGTCCGCGCACCACAGCTTGAAAACAGCAGGACCGCGGGGCACGCTCTCTGGTGACGAAGCGGAGAGACAGAGGGGGAGAGGTGAGAGGTTGCACGGACTACCGCTGCTGCTGCTGCATCGCTCCATCCTGCCCCTGGAGCTAATGGAAAAAACAAGGAGTGGTTCTGTGATTCCCCACACGCAGCAGGAGCAGAGTGGGAGAGAAAGAGATCGCGGGGAGGGGGGCGTTTCCCTGCACGGCTCTGTCTCTTCTAGCGCTGGAGCCGTGTGTAGCATCTTCACTGGACAGCATTTCACAACAGGCGCAACGGTGAGTTCTATATCATTTCACTTTTTTTTTCCCGACAAAAAACGGTATTATATGTGTCAGAGCTGCCATGCTGTGGCTTGAATTACTTTACCAAATAGCCTACTGTTGCTTTATATTCGAGGTAAATTCCCCTAAAGTGTAAGAGTTGCACATCTGAGTGGGTTCATGACACTGCATGCCTGTGAGATCTCCATATGTCTGCCTCTGGTTTCATGGACATTGGAACTGGTTGGTCTCTCAGGTGCCTACAAATGACTTGAGCAGTGCACCTGCCTGTTTCACTCACAGCATGTCAGCAGCACGCCTGCCTCCTTTGTATTCTGTCAAAAGAGAAAGAAAGCATGCAACCACACTCTACACCGGGCTAAATGCAAGCAAAGGGTTAAAGATTCAATTAACACTGGCCTTTCTGAGCTGGCCCTGTCACTGTGAGCAGCGGATGTATTTACAAACAAAGAAAGCTTAATACCCAGGCCTGTCACGTAGGAGACAGGTGCTGCTGCTTATGTGTAGTTTTACATTGGGGAAGGCTTGGACCTGGCCTGTGCTACAGTGCATTATAATACGTTTGAGGCCAAATGCAATCACCAAAAGTAAGCTGCCTATTAAGTTTCAAAGTTTAGTTTCGGCACATTATCCTCTGGGCTGCTTGAGCTGCAAAAGCCATTACTTAGACTTTCTTTGCATCCAGGTAAAAAATGATGGGAGATTTAGTATTGCAGGCTTTAGCACAAACATGGTCATAACAGTGCCTTTTAGTTCCAAGCAATTAGGCAGTAATGTGCAGCAGCTTCCTTCCGCTGTCTGCCTGTCTCCAGCTCTGCTCTGTCTTGTCTTTGCCTCAGGCGCAGCCACTTGTGATTTTTTTTGTCTCCTCTCCCTGGTCAGGTGCATCAGAAAGGTTGATAAGGTATCAGACGTAAATATGAAACACAGACCGATTTTCTTTCATTAGGCTTCCCAGATGGAGCCAGTTTGCCTTCAATCAAGTCTAGTCAGGACATCGATTTTCTTATAAATGTAAAGCAGATGTCTTTAACCCTCATTGTAATGTCTGGGTGCATGAAAATCCATGAGTGAATGATGAGAACTCAGTGATAAAGATAGAATGGCCGTTAAACGTGGGAGTGATGCACGGTTAAAATCTGCAATGTTATAAAAACAATATCTGTTTTCCGCTCATTTAAGTAGTTTTCAAATGTACTCAATATACAAAATGTGTTTCGTGTACAAAAGGCACAGAACTTACAGGCCAGTGTGGAAGGGTATCCAGTCTAGAAAGCAACAACATTTAATATTTTTATTTAAAACAACTGAGAATGAAATCAAATTGCATGGCGTGATTTTATTGATTAAATCACAATAATGGGGGAGGGTTAGGGTCAGAAATGAGAGCAACATCACGGAACATACTGTACAAAACATACATGACAACACACACAGAAAGAATGAGTAGAATTGAAGAAACACTTTGAAATGTAGTTCTACCACTTGGCCATGTCCTGATTCAGGGAAGCTCCGAACGAAGACAAACGGAAATGTAATCAGTTAAAATATATATTCTGCTATCCTCACAACACATACATACAATTGGCACAGATTTCCTAACCTCACTACCACACCCAATCCAACAATCTTAACTATTATACCTTCCACCTGCCTTTCCGAAACATGCCTAAACAGACACATGGACACATAAAACAGATATGTGTCCATTCCAGTGTTGTATCACAAGGAGTCCAGTAGAAGGATGTATTTTTACCCTCTGACACCTACGTACATCTCTTCACAGCTCGTGGTGAAAACAGGAGACATGTCCACATGAGTTGCCATCATCAACGCCGCCTCAGACACAGACAGTGGAGGATCTGGGGGACTGCTGGAGGAAGTATATAGGTAATGAGCGAGATGGTCTGCCAGGATCTTGTGTGATTGCCCTGTCTATATCTCCTCGTTTTTAGCTTTAACAATGACAGGCGGTGCAGGTGTGAGGTGGAAGAGAGGGGAATTGTACTTGCGAGAGTGTTAGGTTTCGCGGTGCCTGGCTTTGATGGTTTAGAGCTTTGGATAGATACACAAGCTGGGGAGAAGGTTAAACACAAGGCTAACAGGAGGCGGAAAGCCAGCTAGAGGGAAAATCATAGGCGGAAAGGTTAAAAGCATGAACACTAGGAACCAGGAGCTGTCCGAAGGGAGCTGTCTATGGTGCTGATCCCCTCCCTGTATACTTATTGGTTTTCTTAACACCTCTGCTTTTCCTCCCAATAACTCTCCATGTTCTGCTTCACTGCTGATTGACAACTTCTGTGTCTCTAATTGGCAAGTGTGGATAGGGAAGAGCCAAGGCTTATTCTCCGTGGGATGGACCGAAGAGGACAGAAAGAAGTCTGTGTGCTGAGGGGGAGGAAAAGACAAACCAGGGAGTCTTTCAGCCGGAGAGAGTGTTGAAGGAAAGTGGAAGAGACAAATATAGTCAGAAATTTTAGGGGAAAAAAAGTTAATGTTGAAGAGACAAAGAAGACAGGGGTAGAAAGAGGTGAAGGCTGAACATCTGTTTGGTAATCTCTTTTTCTTCTCTCTGAGCATGTGTAACACACACTGACACCTTTTTGATAATTGGTGAACCAGGCCTCTCCCTCAGCTCTCCAGCTAAATGCTTGCTTGATGCCGCTGAGCGCAAAGAGACCATGCTGTTGGCAATGTGATATGTTTACTCGCCTAATTTCAGGTAAGGATCCATAGCAGGCTGTTTGTGTGGGTGTATATCATGCCATTCCTTAACACTTACACTAAGGCAATTAGTCCGACAATGTGTTCCATGATGGGACTGCTGCGCATGTGTGAAATGTGGAAGCAATTCGGCTGCATTGTGATCCAAGGATAAATATAATTTATTTTCTTTCACTCCCTCTCTCTCTTTTTGTTCCTCTCCTAGGTACTGCTTTTTACAGAAATGTCCACAAAGACCTCCTCCTTCTTGCACGCAGCAATCTTGTGGGGAGTGCACAACGCAAGGATATTTGCTGAAAAGGAAAGAATGAGCTACAGAGAAAGGAGGAAGCAGACGGGTGAAGGAGGTGGGCCTACTGCTCCATTCTCGATCACGGGTATTCTTGGGTTGATAATACAGATGTGGATGTTATTGCTTGAGAATACGCGTAGTTGAGTGGAAGCGTTGTCCACTGACCTAGGCTGGCATCACATGGCGTGAGATCAGATCACTGTGTTGGACTTTTACTAGTTAGTATTACTATGAAGTTAACTTGGAAAGGTTTTCTCCTAACGCATTTGTGTCCAGCAGGTGGTAAAATGAAATGCAGTCACTGAAAAGGTTTTATTGCTCAAGATTTATCAAGCGTGTCACTCTTTGCGGCTCTTTGGCTGGAAAAGAATTTGGTGCAGGGTTCTCCTGCTGGGGCATTGCAATGAGAAAAAAACGAAATTGGAGTCCATAGCTATAGCCAGGGCATTAGTTCAGGAGGCTTAACAAAAAATCTTTGAGCTTAGACATTAATTCAAAGCCTCTTTGATTACACACCCTTGTCAGTCACTTGTGCAAAAAGAACTGAGCTTAAAAACTAATCAGTTGATGGGTGTCTTTCACAACCTTTCACACACAAGATTTTTCCGTCAACACTAAATAGAAGTCAAATTTACAATGGTCAAGACTGGCTGTTTTAATCTGGAATTAATTGATTTTACGTCTTGCTTATGTCACCGTGATTCCATCTACGATTGCACTCCTATTTTTGACTACCCAGATTAGGCTAAAAATGTGTGAAAGTTTGATGCCTGTAGCAGTAACAGGAGACAGCAACACATGAGGACGTGTCAAGCCTTCCACCCGTGGTCTGACATCAGCATCTGAGTGGCTGTCACGCAGGCTCAAAAACACAGTGTATAAACTGCACTGGGTTCGCTCCATCCACACGCTACAGGCAAATGTGGGATTGATGATCTTTAACTGCACACACTTTAGACACAAGTGCTCATATGTAATGCACAGCCACGGTTCACTGGGTCCATGTCTGCTGGGAATAAGGGACTGATTGATTTTTTTAGCCACTATTTTTAGGCAGGATGATGGATGCTTATGTCTTTTATTGATCAGTAAAGGGGTGGGTTTTTACAATTCTTGAATGTCAGGGGATGCTGATTAAACAGGAAGCAGACCTCTGGCAAATCATAGCTTACATTTTCAGTACATTAACATTATTGCTAAGTATTATAAATGAGAAAATCAAGCTTTCAATGCAAATTCAGCACATGTATTAGCTTGTTTGCAAACACAGGCCTGCATGATGAATGGCGCTCTTGTAATTTACTTTTGCATGACACGCTAATGCCGTGTAAGCAAATTCTCTCTTCATTAGGACCACGATTGTAATTTGTTTAGATTTATTGTTGTGTGAACTTGAACGCCAAAGTTTCGGCATTTTGTCTGTATAGGTTGCACCCATGTGACATCACAACTTTCCGAAGAGACTATAGTTTAACATTGTGGTAGACGGATAAACACTTTTCTTAGTAACTATGGTAACTATCAAACGTCCTTCTTCTTAGGTTAGATATAATTTCTCTGTAATTCCTGATTTATTCCACAGACATTACAGAGACATTTACAATCCACTAGAAAGGACCTTCAGACAGAATAATAGTCTGGCAGGTTTGAAAATGACTATCCAAAAATGATCTAAGAAAAACATTGAAATTTTTTTTCCAAAATGTTTTGCAAAAATGGCTTCTTTCCTCCAGAGTTGAGTTAAGAGAACGAGATCTCTAATTTGTCCTCCAGTGGGGAAAGTTCAGATTTTACATCAGCACCTTCCCTCCAACTAAAATAGAAGTCTATGACATGAATGCAACCTATAGTGTAATATGTTTGAATTTCACATAATTCTTGAGTGCAGTGGTTCTCAACTGGTGGATCTGGACCCAAAGATCCACCAGTTGATCTTTCTAAAAACAAGTTTACAGACAGCACAAGTTACAATCTCATGCAATACTTTTGACCCAGCACACTGCTACTCAGTCTTAGCTGTGGGCCTCTATCTATAAAGATGCTGCCTTTGATTTAATAAGAAATATTAAGAGATTTGTCAAGAAAAACATTTTTAGACTTAAATTAAGAAAAAGAAAGAAGCCACTGAGACCCTTTTCGTGTTTTTAATTTTATTTATCTTTGTAGTATTAACCAATGCTTTTAATGCAGATTTTACAGAGTTTTTGGCATTATATGTTGATGGTCACTGGTTCAGATCTAGTGCATGTGTATCTGTGCTTTAGTGCGTGTTGTGTATCTGTGCTTTAGTGCTTCTAAGCAACAAAATGACTATTGTGCGCACAGCTCCAGGTGCCTAGCAACCACATCGCTGTTTCCCTGGCAACAGTTGCCCTGCACTCGCCGTGTGGGTGATTGGCAGCCTTGACAACGAAGACAGAGTGACACTTGACCTCGCGTGCTGAATGGAAGAAAGACGCAGATAGAAGAGAAACAGAGGGACTGCGGCGGGAGGGGGCTCGCAGACAGAGGCGACACTAAGTGATAATCATTCCCCATTGTGATCATCCTGCAGCGTGTTTCATAAGGCGTCGTCAATACCTCTCCAGCTGGGTCCATCATCAAACACAATGCACAGAGCACCGCACGCATATACGGTGTGGAAAGCCCGTACAACCACTCCACAGTGCATCTATTCTCACTCAGCACAGTCCCACTACACTGTCCACTTTCATTTGTGCGCCGCTACATTCTGGGCTCTCGGCGAGAACGCACAATCAGTGGACTTATGAGCAATGTCTCATCTCTCAGATACAGAGAGCCAACTTGCAAAATGTTGAAATTGAGCAATATACAATAAAATAAGGAGTTATTGGTTCTCAAACGGTTCGATTCCATCACTAGTTGTCACATACACATATTGTTGGCTTCTCATCAGCTTCATCAGACAGAAAAGTGAAAGAAAGAACAACCCTCACTCAACTCTCAGCTCAAAGTGCCAAAAAGTGACTCACAGGGCTCTTTCTTACATGTATTCTCTCGAAGACAGCTTGAGGTGGTCTGACTTGTTCACATACTTTGATGGGACTAACAAAATGTATTATTTAAGAAAAAAGGTAGGTACCCCAGATGTAATGTATAATGTGAGCTTCCTCCTTCTGTTAATAGGATTCATTCTAATTTGTTATGGTTGTGGTATGTGTTGCTCTGTTACATAATTTTAGTGAGGAAACATTTTTATGTCAATGTATGTAAAACTTCCAATGGCAAACAATTTCAATGCTGTTCATTGCTTCTGTAATACTGTTTCTATTTGCAATAAAAAAAATAAAAAAAACAAGAATTCTCTACTAGAGCATATTATGTATTTTATAATCAAGTTTCATGAAAAAAATACTCAAAAGTCTAGATTGGACTATCAACAATACAAACCTCATTCTGTACAATAACGCCCTGCTTTTGACTGTAACTTTCAATGTGGGTACCAATTATTGTAATACATGAGTTTTGTTTAGCCATGATATCAGAAAGAAACCTAGTATGTGGCCTTTAAAAAATAAAAACAATAATTTACAGCTTAAATCATCTTAACATAACATTAAAACTAAGCAAATCTTTCCCCTTTCCAAATTAACTGTAAAACTAGTATGACAAAAACTTGATAAAGGCTTTTGATCAAAAGGGGCCTTAAAATGTCTAAACACAGTGTTGTAGAGTGTTTAAAGGACATCCACATCATCATCAGCAGCAGCAGCAGCAGCAGCAGCAGTTCCAGTGGCTATTGGTTTGCTACTTCACAGGCATCTATCCAGTCACTATACACATCCACCGGCTCCGACAGATCTGGATGATATAAGTTAAAGTTTTGAACAGTTCACAGACCACAAGTAAAACTAGAAAAGCACAGACCTCATTCCTTCAAAACATCCTGTAATTGGGTTCAGTTATATTGCTAAATAATAGACAAAAAACCCTGGTGAATTTGCCTACAACTATATAATATTTTAAAAATTACTAAAATAAAATGTTTTCTGTGAGGAAATTACAGATCAGTTCGTAAGATCCAAAAAAGACTCAATTATTGTCAGAGTAAAAAGTGACCAGATCCAAGCTCCAAGATCTCAAAATGTGATGTACACAAAAGGATCATGAAAATGTAGTCAAATATTGCAATAATAAAAACAGTTTCAATTTCTGAAACAACTGACAACCTTTTTGAGCAATATGGAGATGTGCCAACATTGTGCCACAAAATGTTTTCACGCCAAAATTAAAACTGCCTGGACCAGGGGTGTCAAAGCCATTTTTGTTGGGGGCTAAATTTAAAAAAAAATATGACGACTTGTTCAGGGCCGTAACTTCATTGGGCTACACTTCCAATCATTCTTGGTGGAAATTCTATGGCGGCACGGTGGCTGAGTGGATAGCACTCTCGCCTCTCAGCAAGAAGGTCCTGGGTTCGAATCCCGGCCGGACCAGGGCCTTTCTGAGTGGAGTTTGCATGTTCTCCCCGTGTCTGCGTAGGTTTCCTCCGGGTACTCCGGTTTCCCCTACCACTAAAAATATGTACAATAGGTCTGGCATGCGCCTCCTGTTCGGCGACCCCGCTCCCATCTCTGTGTGGAGTGAGAGGACAAGTGCCCAAAAATAACAATTGTAAACCGCTTTGTGACTCTGGTCTGTGAAAGGCGGTATATAAATAAAGCTTACTTACTTACTTAAAGTTTGTTTAAAAATTAAAATCTTTTGCATCTGTGCTTATATTTATATTTTCAGTTATGATGGTAATTTACTAGCCAAACCCACACAATTTAACAATCCGTGAGACAAGGAAGAAGAAACATATTACATTAGATGCGGGTTCAGCAGATTTTCTGGCTTGAGGTACTCGAACCATCTGCAGGCTTAGGGATGCAGAGTGTTGGAGTCCTGGGACCTGTCAGTGAAGCATATGTAATGTTCTCACCTGCCCAGCAGGGGTCGCTAAACACATGACTGGCTTTCCCAGTAGGTGTACAGTTTTTATAATGTCGTACTTCTAAGAGGTTGTTGTTATTGTTTGAGGTGATTATCACTGAAACGCAGATACGCACGACGGATAACGCATTTCATGAGACTCAAAGGAGGGGACAAAACTCCCACATTGTGGACAAGGCAAAGAGCAACAGCTCTGGTCCTGACCAAGCCGATCAACAACAACTGATTTTACTTAAAATCACAATTCATTATACAAAAGAGCCCTCAGCCCCTCACGTTCCAATTAAAATGACTATTTAACTATTTTTTTGTTTTTGAAAATGATATATTACCGGTAAAAGTAATACACAATAGCCATAATCTGATAAATGGCACAAGTCAAACGTGAAGCTGGCGGTGCATGACGCAGAGCATTTCCACACTGCAAATACAGGAGAAGAGATGTAGGAGTTTGTGGCTTTCATTATACAGCGACAAGGTCACAGCAGGATTGAATAAACAGTAAAGGTAAGAGTAAAAATCTGACAAATAATGAGATATGAAAATAAATAAAATTCCAAAAGGCCAATAAAATTTTATCGTAAATCAACAAAAGCATTTGAATGCAGTTGTGACACTGAGGGAGAGAGTGAAGATACATTATAATAATATTAAGGTTACCTTCTCACCTGTGTGAATGTGAGTGTGTATGGGACAGTCATAATTGCTCGTCGACTTGTGAAATATTTCATCAGTAGGCCCATTGTAAAATTATATACGGCTGAAACCGGACTGGCAAAATGTACGTTTCCACCCTCAAAGTCCTGCAACTGCCCGTTTTTCCGCACATATTTGCACAATAATTGTGCAGACATGTCCCGCAGGACACTTTCCAGAGCGATTCACGTCCATGCCACACGGGGCGAGCACAAACCTGTGCGGAAACCACACATGACCTCTCTGGACAAAGTTGCTGTGACTGACTTTGGTCGTAGGTACTTTAATAACTTGTCTGCCAGCCTCTTGTCTTACGATTCTAGCACGTTTGATATGTCAGCTTGAGCTGAGCTTGAGCCAGATATGTCACTGACCCCTGGTCAAAAACAAACAAATAATGTCTCCTAAAGAAGATCCGCCATGAAAAAGGCACTTTTAAATGAAGGATACATGTAATGGGGGTTTGAAACTCCTCCAGGCAGACTGTGCAGGAGATGACACCTGTATTCCTAGTCCGCTCCCTGTTGAAAAATAAACTGTTACTGTCAGGCATTTAACGATTTACTTAAATTTGACTTTTAAGTAAAACTTTTTCTAGATACATTTTGACGTCACAGGACTTCTCGTGATTGCAAAAGGGACAGGTGAACTGAGAGTCCAAGTCACCAGTCATTTTCTTCTTTGGAGGAGGCTTTCTCTTTGACTTTCGGCGACCCATGGCACACAAAGAGTCAGAACTGCAAAAAAAGAGCGACCACTATTTCTGTTTAACAAGAGAGAACAACAGTTACGGAAACAGCTCCAAAATAACAAGTCTCCACAAAGCACCGTGTAACAAGCTAGTCTTAGCATGTGTTGATGTCCCAAGTAAACAATCACCAACAGTGTAAAAAGCCAACACTACGACCTATAATAGGCCCATCAGAAGTAATACATTGCACGGGGCACTTACTATGTGAAACACAGACTTCATAAGCAGCATATTTACCTTTAGTTATAGTAAACACGAGCTGATCCAAATCCTCAGCACGCCGACAGAGCAACCACATGAGTGAAGGAAGTGGAAGAGATACTGCCCTCTGATTGGATCCCTGACCCGTCAATCAACATGACGACACCCATCTCTCTCCCGCGTGGTGGCGACAGAAACTCAGCAGGTGTGTGTTTGGGTCATTGTATTGATTTTGATCATTACATAACTTACAAATTAATGATTGACATGCTTCTTACTCCTTGCTGTGCTGTAAGGAGCTCGATGTTCGACAAATGGGCTAATAATGGTGTTGCTAAGTGCTAATATGTGTATGGCATGTACATTAGTTTGCCATGTGGACCAAGCTAGCCGAATCATCCCAAACTTTCTGTTCGTCCTAGTTTGTCAAAACACATCCCGAAACTGTCCCTATTCATGAAGTAGAAAGGGCAATGCAGTGTTTTTGTTGTGCCAATTAATAAAGACATTCTTCCTTCCTTAACTTTGCTTCTAATTTCTATTGACCTTTTATGACATACAATTCTAAATGGCATTAAAACATTTTTTATAACGGATGTTACATTTCACTTTTTCCACTTCAATTATATTACAGAAGTAAGAATATGGAAGAAGTTATTTGTGCAGACAAGTATTTGAATTCCAATGCTGTGTGTGCAATAATGTTAGATTTGTTAAAACGTTAAACCCAAGCTGTCATTCTAAGCATGAAATAAACTTCTATATTACTTTTGATATTTGTGATTTACTAAAACACACTTAATTTACAGGATAAAGATGTGGACAGTGAAGGTGATTGGCCTCAGTGCACTGGCTGTCTCTGTCTCTGTGGAGTTGCTCTGCTGGCTTCGTCAAAGATATAAAGCAAGAAGAACACTCAATGAAGTCATATTTTTCCCCTCTGAGTTGGCTTGTGTGGAGCATCTCTTTAGTCCTTCACTAGCTTTGTAGGTGAAACATGACACTCAATTACACACTGACACTGAAAAATCAATGTGCATGCCAACACTTTCCTCTTGTTTTGTGCATTTACAGTGCCTGTTACTGTGCGTTGCCTCATGGTATTGAGACATCCTTTTCACGTCTTCTCCGCCATATCCTGTCAGCCTCCTCCTCTTTGGACCTGTGTGTTTTTGCCTTCTCAAACATGGCCCTGGCCAGGGCAGTTCTAGCACTGCATGAAAAGGGTGTCATCATACGTGTGCTCAGTGACAAAGACTACGTTGCCATCACCGGCTCCCAGATCGGGCCCCTTCGCAAGGCAGGTGAGGACATGTGTCATTTTCTATCCTCACAGAGACCTGGTATTCTCACGTCAAGAAAAGTTATAATCCTTGCAGCTGAACAAAGTGGCATAGAAATCGAAGTGAATACGTTATAATAGTCTTGTTAGAAAAATGGTTATGTTATTCTTGCATGTTTTGCAAGTGATATCAACAGTCTTGGTGTGATTTTGACAGTTTTTTGTAGTTAAAATAAAACAGATGGAGTAAATAAAATGCTGGGAAGCATGTCCCACACTGCAATCAATTTATGGAATGGTTTTCTCTGAACAACAAAAACCGAGAATTAACTAAGTACAAAATTGGCATTCACACAGCTGATTTCATCAGGCAGAGTGTTTTTGTGCTTCCACATTGCAAACATAAGCATTTCAAGGAATTCTTCTCAATCAAAATATTCCTTCAGACAAGATTTTGGTCTCAAGTGAAACACAAACATAATTGTTTACTTAGGTTAATAGCTCCTCGTGAACTTGGCACGAGCCCAATACATTAGCTTGCATGCAACATTAACATGAACAGATCCTATATTTGTCCCACAGTGGGAAATTTCAGTGTTGCACCACAGCTTACAGAGCAGTGGGAAAATGGAGCACACAAAGTATGATACAGTGCCTTGCGAAGGTATTCGGCCCCCTGGAAGCTTTCAACATTTCGTCACATTTCAGGCTTCAAACATAAAGATATAAAATTTTAATTTTTTGTCATGAATCAACAACAAGTCGGACACAATCGTGAAGTGGAACGAAATTTATTGGATAATTTGAACTTTTTTAACAAATAAAAAACTGGAAAGTGGGGCGTGCAATATTATTCGGCCCCTTTACATTCAGTGCAGCAAACTCACTCCAGAAGTTCAGTGAGGATCTTTGAATGATCCAATGTTGTCCTAAATGACTGATGATGATAAATAGAATGTACCTGTGTGTAATCAAGTCTCCGTATAAATGCACCTGCTCTTTGATAGTCTCAGGGTTCTGTTTAAAGCGCAGAGAGAACCATGAAGACAAAGGAACACACCAGGCAGGTCCGAGATACTGTTGTGGAGAAGTTTAAAGCCGGTTTTGGATACAAAAAGATTTCCCAAGCTTTAAACATCTCAAGGAGCACTGTGCAAGCAATTATATTGAAATGGAAGGAGTATCAGACCACTGCAAATCTACCAAGACCCGGCCGTCCCTCTAAACTTTCATCTCAAACAAGGAGAAGACTGATCAGAGATGCAGCCAAGAGGCCCATGATCACTCTGGATGAACTGCAGATAACTACAGCTGAGGTGGGAGAGTCTGTCCATAGGACAACAATCAGTCGTGCACTGCTCAAATCTGGCCTTTATGGAAGAGTGGCAAGAAGAAAGCCATTTCTCAAAGATATCCATAAAAAGTCTCGTTAAAGTTTGCCACAAGCCACCTGGGAGACACACCAAACATGTGGAAGAAGGTGCTCTGGTCAGATGAAACCAAAATCGAACTTTTTGGCCACAATGCAAAACGATATGTTTGGCGTAAAAGCAACACAGCTCATCACCCTGAACACACCATCCCCACTGTCAAACATGGTGGTGGCAGCATCATGCTTTGGGCCTGCTTTTCTTCAGCAGGGACAGGGAAGATGGCTAAAATTGATGGGAAGATGGATGGAGCCAAATACAGGACCATTCTGGAAGAAAACCTGTTGGAGTCTGCAAAAGACCTGAGACTGGGACGGAGATTTATCTTCCAACAGGACAATGATCCAAAACATAAAGCCAAATCTACAATGGAATGGTTCACAAATAGACGTATCCAGGTGTTAGAAAGGCCAAGTCAAAGTCCAGACCTGAATCCAATCGAGAATCTGTGGAAAGAGCTGAAGACTGCTGTTCACAAACGCTCTCCATCCAACCTCACTGAGCTCGAGCTGTTTTGCAAGGAAGAATGGGCAAGAATTCCAGTCTCTCGACGTGCAAAACTGATAGAGACATACCCCAAGCGACTTGCAGCTGTAATTGCAGCAAAAGGTGGCGCTACAAAGTATTAGCGCAAGGGGGCCGAATAATATTGCACACCCCACTTTTCAGTTTTTTATTTGTTAAAAAAGTTTAAATTATCCAATAAATTTTGTTCCACTTCACGATTGTGTCCCACTTGTTGTTGATTCTTGACAAAAAATTGAATTTTTATATCTTTATGTTTGAAGCCTGAAATGTGGTGAAATGTTGAAAGGTTCAAGGGGGGCGAATACTTTCGCAAGGCACTGTAAGTGGATAGTAAGTATAGCACAACTTTACACTATATCTAACCTTTATCTTTAGCTTAATCAACTTTAAAGTATAAAGAATATGAACAAAGTATAAACCTATGTGCATAGAAAAATACTTATGTATGTATTTTAAAAGATCTACAGATGAATCTGTTACACACACATGTGCAAGACATTGAATAAATAAGTCATTAGCTCTGTGGGTTCAAACATCCACAGTGATGATGAAACTACTGTATGTTAGCAGCATGAGGTTCTGGGCTAAGAGTGTCTCGGTAAAGTAGCACATGATCCAATATTGGACATTGTGACATGATTGCACAAATGCATGATATGTGAGGTCAGGTCACAAAAACAACATTGGTGTAAAGGCTTTATGTGGACCAAATGTATATGAGATGAAGACGATTCTCACCTAATGCCTGTTGCCTCTGCAGGCATCTGTGTGCGCTGTGGACTGGGCTCCATGTACACGTACATGCATCACAAGTTTGCTGTGGTGGACGGCAGCCTGCTCATTACTGGCTCCCTCAACTGGACACTGACCGCAGTGCAGGCGAATATGGAGAACCTCATCGTCACCACGGAGCCTGAGCTGCTGAGGCCGTTCATCCAGGAGTTTAATCGACTGTGGCGACTCTATGACCCGGCACAAACCTGTAGTACCAGTCAATGAAAGTGATATGGTCCCTTTAATCAACGTTTTTTTGGATTCATTCAACTAGTTTGACTTTTTGTGTGTTTTTTGTGTGTAAAAAAAAAAAGAAAAGATTTTTTATTTTTTTTAATTTGAACCTTTTATACACAAAATAAAAGAGAACGTTTTGAAGATTCTCATGTAAATTGTTCTGGTGTGGTTTATTTGACTTGTGCTTGATTATTCATTGGCCACCTTGTGAATATTATTTTGAGTGTCATGAGGATATGAGGATGTTGTATCTCTGGACAATTAAAAACCAGACCACACAGGGAAACGAATGTGAACTCACAACAGTTTGTATAATATTACTTGGTGCCATTAACCACATCCCGAGAACGCTCTAGGCGTGACTGCGGTGGTTCATGTGAATCATCGAGAGGAAAGGATGAAGATGAGACACATGGTAGTCGTGTTGTTTTATTTTGAAGCCCCGAGGTGGAAGCTGCTCTGTAGTTTCTGTGGAGGACGGTGGAGTCGGAGGTTTTTGCTGCTGAATGTTGAGTCCGAGCAGCACCAGCACGACGCGAGGCTCCGCGCACATCCAGGTATTTCACACATGACATGTGTTGGAATAATGACACTTGGACTTCTTATTACTCGTTTTTAAGGAAATGGCTTCTGTTTCTGCACGTTGTATGATAAACTAATATTCTTTTGGAAAGTAGTAAATGTGCAACATGGTCCTTTTCATGTAGCATAGAGTTGTATTATTAAATGATCTCGTGTGTCCCATTCACTTTGTTGCATGAAAATGTATAATTTGTATACAGTGTTGCTTTCTGTCACACATGCTGTATGCACCCTCCCATTCAGATCTCTTTGCATTTCTGTATTGCTGGTCTCGTAATGGTTTAAATATTGTCCTAATGGTTAGGTTTATTTTTTTTCTAATGGGATTCAAGTGTCTCCTCTACAGATCTACTGGATCACACATGTCTAATGGCTCCTGTAGGAGGTTAATAGATCCTAAAGAAGTTTAATGGCATTGGAGTCTTATTGTCAAGTCTTTTCCTACTGGAAATTGAATGGAAGCTCTACAAGTCCCTTTCTTAAAGCTTTGCCAAAATAGGTCCCATGAAATATCCACACAAATGTGGAACTCCCCTCCCTATGCTTGGAAGACTGCGTCAAATAATGGAACAATATTCTTTTGAAATGAAAATATCCTGGCTAAACAAGTAAGTAATCTTTATTTATATATCGCCTTTCACAGACCAGAGTCACAAAGCACTTTTTGGGGGTGATTGTCTCTGACGCCATACAGAGATGGGAGGTCGCCATACAGGTGGCGCATGCCAGGCCTATTGGTCATGTTTTTAGTGGTAGGGGAAACTGGAGCAACCGAAGGAAACCTACGCAGACATAGGGAGAACATGCAAACTCCACTCAGAAAGGTCCTGTTCTGACTGGTCTTCTAACCCAGGACCTTCTTGCTGAGAAGCGAAAGTGCTATCCATCGTGCCACCCAAGACAACTGTTGGAGTTGAAATCAACATTTGTTATATATATATATATATATATATATATATATATATATATATATATATTTATAAATTTTATATCTAAGTTAATTCAAACATGTGGCGAGGGAGACTGTATTGTTGATGCTTGGAAAATTCCATCACTCAAGCATTCAAGATGCCTCACATGCTTGAGGAGATTGTAAATTCTGAAACGGCAGTGCTGCCAGTTAGTGCCATTCGAAGCTAATGTATCTGCCTCCAAATGGAAAATAAAATGTATGTTTTTCCCAATAGTCATGAACAGAAATCCACTTCAAATCAGTGCTAGTGAAAGGTATCTATGTATATACTGTGGGGTAAAAAAGTATTTAGTCATCCACCAATTGTGCAAGTTCTCTCACTTAAAAAGATGAGGGAGGCTTGTTATTTTCATCATAGGTATACCTCAACTATGGGAGACAGAATGAGAAAAACAATCCAGAGAATCACATTGTCTGAAAGAATTTATTTGCAGAATATGGTGAAAAATAAGTGTTTGGTCAATAACAAAAGTTAATCTCAATACTTTCTTGTATACCCTTTGTTGGCAATCATAGAGCTTGTGTAAGTCTTCACAAGGTTTTCACACATTGTTGCTGGTATTTTGGCCCATTCCTCCATGTAGATCTCTTCTAGAGCGGTGATGTTTAGGGGCTGTCGCTGTGCAACACAGACTTTCAACTCCCTCCAAAGATTTTTTATGGGGTTGAGATCTGGAGACTGGCCAGGTCACTCCAGGATCTTGAAATTCTTCTTACAAAGCCACTCCTTCGTTGCCCGGGCGGTGAGTTTGGGATATTGTCATGCTGAAAGACCCAGCCACGTTTCGTCTTCAATGCCCTTGCTGATGGAAGGCATTCATTCTTTTCTTCAAATGGATCTGTTGTCCTGTCCCTTTCCCGAAAAAACATCCCCAAAACATGATGTTTCCACCCCCATACTTCACAGTAGGTATGGTGCAACTTAGAATTCTTTCTCCTCCAAACACGACAAGTGAGTTTTTACAAAAAGTTCTATTTCGGTTTCATCTGACCACATGACATTCTCCCAATCCTCTTCTGTATCATCCAAATGCTCTCTAGCAAACTTCAAACAGGCCTGGGCATGTTGGCTTAAAGTAGCAATATGTAAGACTTTCATGTCATTGTCATTCATTTGGTTTCTGGTCTTCTTTGACAGCTCTTTGCTCTTGGCCATAGTGGAGTTTGGAGTGTGATCATTTGAGGTTGTGAACAGGTGCCTTTCACACTGATAGTGAGTTCAAACAGGTGCCATTAATACAGGTCATGAGTGGTGAACAGAATAGCCTCTTAAAGAAGGAGTTACAGGTCTGTGAGAGCCAGATATCTTGCTTTATTGTAGGTGACCAAATAGTTATTTCCCACCATTATTTTTAAAATACATTCTTTAATAGTCAGAACATGTGATTTTCTGAATGTTTTTTCTCCCTTTAGTTGAGTTATACCTAAGTGGGAGAACTTGCACAATTGGTGGCAGATATGCTTTTTTGCCCCACTGTATAAGTGTGGAGGGCGAGTCTTTCCTAAAAATCTGACAGATCATGTGCCACACCTGTCATGAGCAAGCTGACAACCTGGCAGCTCACCGTGGGTGCATCTACAAGCCTGCAGCAAGTATTTTCTTAATTTTCAAATTTTAACTTATATGTGAATGCAATATATTGGATTGTGCAGGAAAGAATCTACATTTAGGCTTAAGTTTTTTAAATTAAATATACTATGTTAAACCTTATCCCCAACAGATTCATTCTGCTTTTTTTCTGAGTAGAAAGGAGAAAGTAGTAGATAATGAAGGAGAAGAAGGAAAGGATAACGAAGAGGAGAGAAAGGGACCAAATTGAGCCTCCATGAAATATCACAAGGAACTTCTGGACAAATACGTTTTCTTGAAAAAGAAGAGCAAAGGAGAGGATGCAGGCTGAAAAGACTGACATAGTCAAACATTTAACAGAACCAAACCACAGAGCTGTCTGAGAAGCTGAAGACTTTACTCTGTCACGGTCTAAACCTTCGTTTGCAAGAACTCAGTGTTCCAGGTGCGTGCCCACAATTGTTTTCCTTCACAAATGCTTTCTTCACTAGTGCCTTTTTAACTTTGACATCAGCTTGTTTGAGTTTATACAAGTCAATATATAGTGTTTCAGTAGAGGTTTTCATCCAATTGAAAATGATAAAGGTGCATGCCCTTCACCCACTGGCCTCAGAGAGACTTCAGAGCCACTTGTTTGCTGCAGTTTCCATTGGTAATCATGGTGGTTATTGTGTCCTACAGGGACCCTGCAGCAGCCTCTCCAAGTATGTGGAGGCAAAAATGGTCTGGACACAGAGCCAGAACCTGAAGTGGTCATCCCAGAACCGGACAAAGATGGAAAGGTAACTTTTCACATAGTTTTAGATTTTAGGGATTGTAGGCTTATGGATGATTATCATGTGCAGGAAGGATCGAGAGGAAATCATGTTTTTGAGTAATCTGTGATTGTAAGCACTCTTAACTCTTGTTGTCACTGTTCAAGACTATGACAAACTTTAAATCTATATTTTCCACTTAAAACAAGTTCTTTTTCACCACATCCATAACCCTTTTTGGGCATGGAGAAAAGCAGGTTCACATTTTAACACAAAGATCTTCTATTCTTCCTGCAAAATAATGCGCTCCCTTGTGCTGTAGCCACTGACTTCACTTTCACTACTGTGCCTGGCTGTAAGCAAGACACACTTATCTTTGCTTTCCTTTGGTCTTGCCCACCATACTGGAACTCAAACATAGATGCGAAATTACTTTTTTGTCTGATATTTAACAAGATAGCATTTTTAATTTCTGTAGCTCATTGGGTCCGGTATCTGCCTGACTAAAGAGAAGTGAGAGATGGTGCAGGCAGCCAAGTCCAACTCACTCATCTGCAAATCACTGGCTCCTGCCATTTGGGGCACTGAGGGGCTGAGGGAGCTCAGCGTTACTGAGCAATCTATGAGCAATGAAAACCTTTTATGCTTGACAAAATTTTAGAGTTGACTTAAGTTACTTTATACAGTCTGATAATCAATAAATGATTGCAGTATTTTTTTTTTATCTATGATTTTTGCTGACGGTAGCTGTAGTTCCCAATGATCACAGTTCTTTTTCTTTGATCATAGAATGACTGTAGGACCGCCTAGTGCGGCAACAATATCCAAATGAAGCCATCAATCAGCCGCTTGGCCTTGTCCAGAGGAGCCTCTCTGAGAAGATAAGCGACATACGAAAAAGGACCCACTAGAAAGAAGTGAGTACTGAATTTAAACACATGATTAAAGCTAAAGAGGCTGGTTTCTCCCGGCTTGAGATGGTCAAGCACTTTGGATGTATGGGTTTACTATTTTTTTCTTGTTATTATAAAAGTGGATGATGACTTAATGCCTTTGAAATGTCTATTTCGGAAGTGAGTATGTGACTAAATTCATTTTTGTGTGTATTCCTTCTGTTTTTCTGTAGTGAACCCCTGAAGACTCACAGCAGCAAAACTTAATCTTTTAAAATTATTATTTAAACTATGTAAATAAAATCACAAACCTGAGCAAAAATGGTCATGTCTCATATGTCCTGTTCAAAGGTGAAACTAGTGCATTAGAAATCACACATTATTAATATACCAGATTTTTTGTACTTAGTTTTAGGACTTCAACTCCTCATAATGTTTTTCAGATCCAGGAGCTCTGTAATGGTATTTTGTTTGAACAGTAGGTCTATTGGTGCTATCCTAATGGTGCTACGGTGGCTGAGTGGGTCTTTCTAAGTGGAGTTTGCATGTTCTCCCCGTGTCTGCATAAGTTTTCTCCGGGTGCTCCGGTTTCCTCTACCTCTAAAAACATGCACAATAGTTATGAATGTAATGAGTGATTATGGATGTTGGTTGGGGGCTTTGATGCACCAGTGTGTTCTGTGTCCCTCTTCTGTCATCACTGTGAACTATGAACAATGTAAAGCGTTTGGGTGACCTTGGTCTGTGAAAATGCACTGTATAATTCGAGACTACTACTTACTTAAGATTTGAGAGATTTTCTATTCATCCCACCGTGGGGAAATTTCAGTGTTGCATCACAAGTTTCAGAACAGTTGGAATGAGCACACAGCACAAGTGAAATAACTTTACTGATTCAAATTAATTGAATCTAACTCATAGCATCAGAGACACAAGTATAACATCTCTATCTTTAATGATATAATAATAAAATGTATATTATGCAAAATAAGACGCAAATATAAAGTACTGTGTATTCTAGTGCAATATGTAGTTATACAGTATGTTAGCATCTGTGCATGTTAGCAGCAGTATGTTTACATCTGTACATGTTAGCAGCAGTATGTTAGCATCTGTGCATGTTAGCAGCAGTATGTTTACATCTGTGCATGTTAGCAGCAGTATGTTTACATCTGTACATGTTAGCAGCAGTATGTTTACATCTGTGCATGTTAGCAGCAGTATGTTTACATCTGTACATGTTAGCAGCAGTATGTTTACATCTGTACATGTTAGCAGCAGTATGTTTACATCTGTGCATGTTAGCAGCAGTATGTTTACGTCTGTACATGTTAGCAGCAGTATGTTTACATCTGTACATGTTAGCAGCAGTATGTTTACATCTGTACATGTTAGCAGCAGTATGTTTACATCTGTGCATGTTAGCAGCAGTATGTTTACATCTGTACATGTTAGCAGCAGTATGTTTACATCTGTGCATGTTAGCAGCAGTATGTTTACATCTGTACATGTTAGCAGCAGTATGTTTACATCTGTGCATGTTAGCAGCAGTATGTTTACATCTGTACATGTTAGCAGCAGTATGTTTACATCTGTACATGTTAGCAGCAGTATGTTTACATCTGTACATGTTAGCAGCAGTATGTTTACGTCTGTACATGTTAGCAGCAGTATGTTTACGTCTGTACATGTTAGCAGCAGTATGTTTACATCTGTGCATGTTAGCAGCAGTATGTTTACATCTGTACATGTTAGCAGCAGTATGTTTACATCTGTACATGTTAGCAGCAGTATGTTTACATCTGTACATTAGTCTGTACATGTTAGCAGCATGTTAGCATCTGTACATGTTAGCAGCAGTATGTTTAGTTTACATCTGTACATGTTAGCAGCAGTATGTTTACATCTGTACATGTTAGCAGCAGTATGTTTACATCTGTGCATGTTAGCAGCAGTATGTTTACATCTGTACATGTTAGCAGCAGTATGTTTACATCTGTACATGTTAGCAGCAGTATGTTTACATCTGTACATGTTAGCAGCAGTATGTTTACATCTGTGCATGTTAGCAGCAGTATGTTTACATCTGTACATGTTAGCAGCAGTATGTTTACATCTGTACATGTTAGCAGCAGTATGTTTGCATCTGTACATGTTAGCAGCAGTATGTTTACGTCTGTACATGTTAGCAGCAGTATGTTTACAACTGCAGCGTGGGACACAGTGACTCAGTAAAGTGACTGACAGATGTGATTCTATATTGCACATTCTGATATAAGTTAGTTAAAGACATTGCACCGACGCATGACATGTGAGATCAGGTTGGCAGTGCTCATTATTAGTCCTCATTGATTGTTGTACAGTCTGACAGCAGCTGGAAGGAAAGACCTGCGGAACCTCTCCTTCACATTACTTATCCTAATGGGACCTAGTGGATTTATGGTCCCATTTCCCATTAGACCCTCAGGAACCTATTGTTTCCTATGGGTCCCTTATTTTTTTTTGTTGTTGATGGTATTCTACTTGAATATTCAGTCCAATCATCCCTGAGTTGGTTCCTTTTATGATGTGCACAGGCTGGGAAATTGTGGGTGGGGAGGGCTGGCTATGAATGAATGAATGGTGTCTTGCTCATTCTGTGATGCAGGCAGGAGAGCTCACAGTGGATTGGTGGTGACAGGGAGTGAGTAAAGGGAGATAAATGTCACTGTAAGTGAAATTGCGTGCGCACGAGTAATCCGTGAATGAAAGGTCAGACGGCTGGGATTTATGAAGCGTCCCGGCGCGTCACTTACCGCTCAGCAACAACTCATAAGTCCATGACAAATGTACACATGCAGCAGGTTGTGAGTGATGGACGTGAAACAGCGCGGACCTCAGCAAATGGCAGAGATATAAGATGATGCTGCATGGGGCCATTTGGAAACAGACACAGTGACATTTACCGACCACTAATGATATATACACATAGACATAGCCATCATTTATATTCTTAAAGTGCCTATTTCTCACTTTGACACTTGCTTAGGAGCATTTAAGAGATGGCACGTTAGAATCCGCTATCAAGGAGTGGAGGTGATACATGGGTCTGTTTATGGCTGTTTGTAGTGGTGCTCTGGCCACAAGAGGTCAGTATGAGAACACATTTTCTGTTAAATGAATGGAGTCGCCTTTAAATAGTCTTGATTTAAATGTAAATGATAAAAGAGTAAGATCAATTCTGCATTTCCTTCTCCTTAAAAAAATCTATGGTGCCTTATTACCTTTGGTGGGGATAAAAGTCAAGCATTAAATCATGGAGTATGTGATGAAAGGTTTTAGATATGGGTTGGTCTCATGGATCTAGTTTGGCCTATATTTATTGCACTGTTCATGAAACATGTTGAGACATTGATAGTGGGTTCCCATTCAAGAATCTGATATAAACTGCAAAATAAATATTTCCAACCATCATTCATTCCAAAATGAATTACGCCTTTTATTTGTATGTGGCACATTGAGAAATAAAGCAGACTAGACATGCTTGTGCCAATTATTTAAACTACTTTATTTTTATTTTTTTTTATTTTTTTGCATTTGGATTTTAAATTTTATTGACATGTTTTATCTTTTTCTGATCAAAAATGTTGTATTTGCAAACATTGTACATTTTACATGATGGTGGTGCCCAGGAAACTAAATGACTCCACAGAGCTGATGGACTCCCTCATCACCTCTGTGGAGTCATTTTGTATCCTGGGCACCACCATCACCCACCATCACCCAGGACCTCAAGTGCTGGTGCTGATGTTGGTGCAGTTTTACACGGCCATCATCGAGTCCATCCTCACCGCCTCCATCACCGTGTGGTTCGCTGGAGCCACAGTCAGGGACAAACAGAGACTACAGTGCATTGTGCGCTCTGCAGAGGAAGTGATCGGCCGCAGCCTTCCATCGCTGCAGGACCTGTACGTCGCCTGAGCTCGAGGCCGGGCTGGTCGTATCACAGCCGACCCCTCTCACCCTGCACATGGTCTGTTCCAACCTCTCCCCTCGGGCAGAAGACTACAGTCCATCAGGACTAGAAACTCCCGTCATAAGGACAGTTTCTTCCCCTCTACTCATGAACACCACTGACCTCTGACCTTATGACCGTCAATTTATGCTACTGTAACTTTATGCTACTGTAACTTTATGCTACTGTAACTTTACTGCAATCTACTGTCTATTGTGTGCACCTAGTGCACTGTATATGTAAACTGTAGAAATGGTTGTAGGTTTTTATTTATGCATGCCTTGTTGTTTTTATTCTGATTTAACTTGTTTCCACCGAGAGCCAAAGCAATTTCCTAGTTTGTGACATCCGGTTACTCACATGGCAATAAAAAGGATTCTGATTCTGATTTGTCATCAAGCTAAATATCCAACCAGGCAGCAGAATTAGCGTGACATAAGTCTCCTTTAGGTTGCCAGTTTATTCAGAGAAAGATACATGTTGTGTATTTTCTATATGCAAATTAGACACCGGCAGCAAAGGTTTAGATTGTATGTGTTGTCAGGTCTTTTGATTATAATAATAGCATTGAAACTAGATCAAACGTTTCGAACCTGATAGAAAAAAATCACATTAAGACAAAATGTGAGATTCTTTGAGCAGTTTTTGAATAATTTTGATTTATTTCTGAACTAGCTCAAAACATTGTATTACCATAAAAATTACTATAATGTGTGGTATTATTATTTTGGTAAAAAGTTGAGCTGTCTTTTTAGTGGTATTGGAATTGAGTTTGCATTTTTAGTATTGTGACGACACTAATTTGTAGTAACCTTATAAAACCAGTTCCTTTACATGAGTAGATGTTTAATTGCTAAGTCAAATGTTTTTCTAAATTGTTGCTTTTACCTGCAGAGATGGCTTCTGCCCGAGAGCCAGGACAGCAGAGCCAGGAGCAGAGGGATGATGCGGACCAGAACTTTGACTACATGTTTAAACTGTTGCTAATCGGCAACAGTAGTGTAGGAAAAACCTCCTTTCTCTTCCGATACGCGGATGATTCGTTTACTTCGGCTTTTGTCAGCACTGTTGGCATCGACTTCAAAGTCAAAACCATCTACAGAAAAGACAAGAAGGTCAAACTACAGATCTGGGTAAGAGGAATGCATTACACTATTACTGTATTACACTAAGTCTATTTAACAGTGCAATTGAAACACCTTACATCATTGTAGTCATTAGGAGGAAGTCTGCATTATACAATAGATATATATATCTACAAGATAAGAGAAACTTTATTCATCTCACACTGGAGAAATTTACATGTTAAGGTAAAATATAGTCTGTGCAGGATATATTGTGTACGTGGCAATAGCAGTGCTGGTTTTTTGAGTGCTGACTCAGGCCTATGTATATACAGTATGTCTATATTTGTATGTAAATGTTAGGCACCCGTGTTTACCCAGAGTCTGGAAGCTGGAAAACTGCTGTAAATAGACTGCTAGTTATGCTTGCTCAGAAACCATAAACATGATAACAAGATAACACATGTGACAATGACGAAGCACAATTCTTCTGCGTGGCATCACCTCAGACATGACAGTGTTCTCTGTGGAAACATTTAGTCTTTAGTGTCGCATCCTTTATTTAGGTTTTGAAATCTTGATCAATGAAAGCAAGTTACACTTCAATGTATGGAGGATAGGGCTGTCCTGAACATTTATAACATTCAAGAGAGTACATTACACAAGTTATTTTAATCTTTTCTCAAATGTTTTTTAGTCCGACCTGAGATGTGGACAGTAGAAGTGTGAGTTTAAACAGTATAAATCATGAATAAGATGTTTCATTTGGAATGAGGAAATCATTCTCAAGATCATCAATGAACAAGTGTTAGTTGTGTTTTATAACTTTTTTCAGTCATTGCAATTTTTAGATTGCGACCACAGAAACTGTGATAATTGTGCAGTCCTAGTCTGTAACATGTTCACACCCTGCCTTTGTCACTGTGGTCTTTGACTGTGATCTCTTTGGTTCTGTGGAGTATTTTCTCGAGTGACATTAGGCCATAATGATGGTGTTATTCAAATAAAAAGCACACTCCTCCCAAACCGGACGTTTCAAAAAGGTGATGAAGTGCCAGACTCGGTACAGTTAATTTACCCACACAGGTATTTCCTCAGCTCCCCCGAGGACCTGGAGCAAAGTCATTTCTCATGCTCTACAGTTAATGACAGCTGATGTTTTACATGGTCCCCAGACAGCAGGGTTCATGAAAGATGCATGGCTTTAAGCTCCTGGCCTAAAAGTGCTTACGGCGCAGACTGACACTCACCACAGATCTATCACTGAATGTGAGGCCATGGAAGGGGCCACACAAACATCTTTACAACTAGTGCATTCAGCACACTGTGCACAACTGAGTGTAACTGCAAATACACTATATTTACTCGTACCAATCAGAAATGGTAAACCAATGTTTGTGTTTACATATTACTAATCCAATTATTGCATAATTACAATTGAAAAAACTTATACCTACCAGTCATTAGTCCTTTATTTCTTCCTTTGTGTGTGACGCCATGGGTATTTCCATGTCAGTAATTAACTTATATCTTTAAAAGTGAAGTAAGTGAAGCAACCTTCTGTAATAAACTACAACCTTTTGAAATAACCGCACAATTATTCCACTACATACAAACACATAAATAAGTGCAATAATATTAATTGTAAAACCAAACTTGTGCACCAAGAGTGCACACGTTGGCAAAGGTTTTGAAAGTAATTGCTTTTATAAAATGCAAATGTCTCGTATTTGTCCAAACTGTTTCCAAAAGCGAATAGTCTGTGTTCAGAGCCAGTTCCAGTTGAACAAACATGGATTTTTTTAGATAGGCCATTTATGAATATATTGAATACAATGTTGCTCTCTTCTAATGGACTGCGAAGGACAACCTACGTTTTCATAAAGTTACAGTGATTAGTTTTGTTGTGATAAAATGAAGGGCAAAGGAAGAAGCAGAATATGAATAGTATCCTCATCTTTCACTGAATTATTATCAAATAAGATGATTATAAACACAATCCTGAACTGGATAGATAGTTACAACATAGTGCCTGATATTCACGTCATGTTTTTATGTTATACAGGACACGGCGGGGCAGGAGCGTTACCGCACCATAACCACAGCCTACTACAGAGGGGCCATGGGCTTCCTGCTCATGTATGACATCACCAGCCAGAACTCCTTCTGCGCCGTGGAGGACTGGTGAGTTAACAACACACTTTTATTGTTTTATTGTTGAGTGGAAAATAGAACAGAGCTGTATAAAAGGTTTTAAAATGTCCTGGTAGGAATACAAAGACGAATCATAACATTTCAGGGCTTTGAAAAAAGATTAAGTTGATAGTTTTTCAAAACAATGGTTTAATTAACATTTATTATTAGAACAACATTAACACAGAAGTCTTATCGCAGCAAAAAATAACAAATTTGTAGCATTTTTTTCACTTAAAGCTGGGGTACTTTAACTTTAAGTAGTAATGTTTTGCTCCCCTATCCTATCTTTAGATCAGAATCCTGTTCGAGTACATCCAGCAAACAGCAAGTGCCCCGTGGTCATGCAATCCCCCTCCAACATTTCTCAACCGATTTACACATTTCACAAAAATTCCATTTGAGTTTTTTGTATAAGACAGGCCAACCGGCCCAAATATGGGCATCAGCCCTTCGGGCATTGCCCGATGCCCTGTCCAGGCCTGGCCCAAGGCCTCAATATGTGACTGACAGGGCTTTTTCTCATAAGTATGCCACACATTTTCTGTTTCTCGAATAAGATGAAGACGTTGTAGTTTAATTTATTCACAATATTTCACATATACAATAAAAAAGCAAAAATATTTATTTATGAAGTAGTAAGTTAGACTTCCCAGTTTTAAAGTTAGTTCTGTGCGTTTTCCAGGGCAACCCAGATTAAGACCTACTCCTGGGACAACGCACAGGTTGTGCTGGTGGGCAACAAGCTGGACTTGGAGGAGGACAGACAGGTCCCCACAGCGGAGGCGCGGAGGCTGGCCACAGAGCTGGGTCATTCTTCTATCACTGCCTTCCTGCTTAATCATTAACATCTGCAAACTATAAACTTATTTACTGCTTCTATCATTCTGCAGGATTCCTGTTCTTCGAGGCAAGTGCCAAAGACAACGTCCAGGTCAAGCAGGTGTTCGATGGTCTGGTGGATGTCATCTGTGAAAGGATGGATAGTGGATTGGACGGAGACACTGCTCTGGCTGATGTGGCTGATGTGGCTCCTGAGGGCCTCCCCCCAGATCAGGGGGCTCAGAAGGGCTGCGCATGTTGACTCTTCACTGTGACACTAAAGACTGAGTGAATCTGAAATGCACCACTGTATTGGATTGCGACTGTTATAATGCAACACCAAAGAATGGACTGTTTGTGCCTTATGTTTGTGTTGCTTTCAGCGGTGGATGGAGATTCAAAGTATTATTAAATCTGCATGTTTTGCTGTCGAGGGTCTGCCGATTGCTATATTGAATGTTTTGTCTTCTTAGTGTGGCATTATATACCTGTTTCTCTACAGTGGAGATCGGCAAGTAACATTGACAGGTCATGAACACATATTTAGGTCCAGCTAAATCATGTCAAACTCAGGCCCATGGGCCAAATCCAGGCCGCGAGACAATATTTAGTAGCCACTGGAATGATTTTAAATTATCTTTATCACAGTAACTTGCAGCATTGATAGTGAGGGGCTATGGCATGTTGTACTTCATTTTAAAACCTATTGTCTCAGATAAACAACCATTCTGTTTAACTAAAATGTAATTAGAAGTTATATTTACTTGTTATTATTATTGTTATTATGAATCTTCCAATACTTCTCTTATTGATATTTTCCCCAGTTGTGGTTGAATGCATACCTACAAGAAAATAACATCTATACTCATGTCAAATACAGATGACATAAGACAAAAAATATGTTAAAAGAAACTTTTTGTACCAATTTTTAACTCCTGGCCCCAACCCGCTCTTATGTTTTTAAATTTGGCCCCGCCCAAAATGAGTTTGACTCCCTGATCTGAATTTAATAGTACAACAGATGATTTGATAGATGAAACACACGAGTCACTCGTTTGGGAAGAGTAAGACTTAGATTCACATTTGGATTGAAGCGGTTTCAGCCAACAACAAATGACATTACTTCTGGTTCCGTGTGTAGCGGTGGACTGTGAGCATGGCTTCCAAACTGCACTGTGGTTCTTCTGTGTTGTGGCTCCCTCTAGTGTTTTGAGACAACTGCATCACTGTGACTCATTATCAATGTTTTGAAAAAGCTAAATATTATTTCTAGTAATATTCTGCATGCATATCAATTGGTAAAACTAGATGTGAATGTTTAAATTTACAGTTGCTAAAGAGTTAAACGTTAATTGAACTACGTTTAAGGAAGTGCTAGCCTTTGCAAACTTGGGAGAAATATTAACTTAAGTTTCCTGGATGGGAAACTTTGTAATGACTTTGACTTCTCCTGGTTGGAATGAAACCAAAAAGAATGTTCATGTCTGTGTTCTTATTATTTAAAGGAATTCACCCATGTATTTGTTATTTGAATGGAAAGGTGTGTAATAATGAACAACAGCCCAAGATTACTTCTTGGGCCGATTTGCATCCATTCAGTGGCACTCACAAACACACTCATTCACTCTGGACTATTGTAAATGTTTTTAGTGGTAGGGGTAAAACCTGGAGGAAACCACAGTGATAACATGTACATTTGACACAGAAAGGCCCAGTTTGTCCCAGGCATCAAGCCCAATATCTTGGCGTGAACCATGAGCGCTAACCACTGGTTCACAACATGCTCTGCCCATTTTGATTGAGAACTGCTCTATACACAGACTCCAACACATGTATGTGCTCAAAATGTGATTTTTAAAACTCAGAGAAGTAATGTAGGTGTACAGTAAAATAAAATCTATAAATGTTGATGATAAAATAGTCCTGCACATACTGTATAATCCATCCAAATGTAGATAAAGTAACTTACACACACAGTTACGGTAAGCAGCACTATAAATGGCACTTGAGCAATAACCTTGAGTTCAAATATTGTGCAAAGGATACGTTTTTCCTTGTGCCCTTTGGACACTTATTTCTCCGCAAACCCTCAAAGATGTTTTTCACTCTGTTGGACAATGTGTTTACTTCAATAATTGTCCTGGTATTGTCCCTGCTGGTTATAAACAGGCTGTGGTCAAGCCCCTTTTCAAAGAAATGTATTTATTTATGATGGATTTCCCCTTGAAAAGAATCATCTCTTTTTCAATACTTAAAATCAAGTCAATTCCAATATTTTATTATTTATGAAATACCTTTTGGTGACTTGGGTGCAGCTCTGACTGACTTCTACAAAGAGTCCTTTATCAGCTGTCATTATCCAAACATAAATTGCAGAAAATGTTAAATCTGGATTTGAAGCTTGCATAGCACTGAGTCAACCGTGCTACAAATTCTCAATGATTTGTTTGTAACCAACAGCAGCAGAAACCATGCAGTCCTCGTATTTTTTATTGAGTGGATAGTGGCATCCTTCTATCTCACCTTGTGCTGAATGTTGGTTGGTTGAGAGATGTTGTTTCCTTCTAAATTATTCTGTTCATGTTGGCCCTTGTTCACCATCTGCATCCCTTCTTCACTGCGGAGTGTGGGTATCTTTGGGCCCATTGTTGTTCTTTTGTTGTTGTTGTTACATTCCATTTTCAATGACATGTCTTGAGTGAGACCTTCATTTACAGATATACATCCCACTCAATCCCCTCTGTTGAGTGTCTTAATTACATTAAATATCTGATGGAAAATTATGTTCGTAGTCCAAACAAAAGTAAGACTGAAAATGTTGTGGACAATGAATTCTAGTTTGATAAATAATAAAAATGCATTGGTTTTATACAGCGCTTTTTTGGACACTCAAAGACGCTTCACAAGTCATTATTCTTTCACTCCATACATGATGGTGATAAACTGCCACTGTAACCACAGCTGCCCTGGGGCACACTGACAGAAGCGAGGCAACCATTATGTGCCATCAGCCCCTCCGACCACCACCAACCATTCACACATAAACACATACTTCCATCTGAGAACCCAGTAAGGCCAGAATCCTTCATTGTAGCCGTGTACATAGGCTTGGATCAGTCTTCACTTACTGTAGCTGCCTTCAAGGAATGTAAAATGCTGCTGACCCACTTGACTAGGACCAGACAGTTCCAGCAAATCTTTTGAGTTGGCCACTCTTCATTCACTCCCAGTTCATTTAAAAACAAATGTTAAGGTTTTTATCGTCTTAATGGCTCCATCTACAAGTGCCCCTTCCACGGCGCTGAGGTCTGTACATTCTCTAGACCACTTTAAAACATACTGTTTATCAAGTTTAACACCATTTGAGGAGATATATCACACCTTGAAATCAACATTAATGTAAAGTTAGTGTAAATAGTGTAAGCTGTTTGGTGCTCTGAGGCTGTACTTGAGGCGCTTTGGTCAACACACATTGGAACGTGCTTTATAAATACATTTGATTTGACTGATAAAATCAAATTCATGTTTTAAACAATTGATTAATCAAAGCATTTATCACTGGATTAATTGATATTCAAAATAGTCATTAGTTACAGCACAAGAGGAAACGATCAATAACAAGAAAACGTTTATTTTACATCATTAAACAGACTCACATTTGTATCCAACAAATACATCCACATTAGATTCAGATTCATTTTATTATCAGTAAAACCACATTGGAATACATTTGTATCATGCCCTTATACATACAGTAAGGATTAAAACTAGAGTGGAAACCAGAAGATTATACACACAAAGGTATGATTCATTTATTTTATTATTTATATTTTATTAAATATCTGAATTTGAAGAAAGCAATATAAATACAAAAATATTGTGACATTGATCCAATAGAAGTGATTGTGATAAAAAATAAAAATAGAACTTGCTTTCACAAACCTCCTGTTTGTATGGCAATTACCATGTGCAGCTTTCATAAGCGTGACACCAACCTTTTCTTGATATATAAAAAGACATCTAATGATTATTCCCTGTTAACTTTACAATATCAAGTACCCATCAATCAGCCCTGGACTTTTCCTTCATGTTGAAGCCAGACACAATGTCCCATACTGCGATCAATCATTAACACCGCCGTTGAGGTCAACTATGTGATTCTTGTAAACTTTATTATATGTTTTGTTTTTTATTCTGGACTTTGAAAGCATTCAGGCGGCTTGTTTGTGACGTTTTGAGAAAGACCTCCCCCAAAACGCTGTGTGTGAAACTCGTGAGCAAATAAAGGAAGCTTATGACACATGCGGCGACACAGACCTCCAGACTCTCAACGCCAACGACCTGAGCAGGTAACACTCAAAATACAATTCATAAGACTTTTTTATTTTTCTCTTTGCTTTATTATGTCTCTTATTGACCGATGTTTAAAGAAGATTTTCCAAAACACATCATAAAGTTCCATTGTCATTTTAAGATTTCCTATGTGAAGCATTTTTAATAGTTTAGTTATTAATGAAATAAATACAAAGCATGTGGCAGTATTATTTTTTTAATTTTATTTCCTTGCTTATCATTAAACAACTCCTTCTAACCCTTTAATGGTTTCCTCAATCATTACGCATTTTGAGTCACTATAGCAACTTGAAGCTTTGAACTGAAATATACCTTTTTGGGGCATCTCACTTGATTTTAGGCACTTTTACCATCAAACTGCATCTCAAAAATGTCAAAAAAGGTCAATAATGAAAAAAATAAATGGTGTTATTAGTGTTCTACATCTTAGAAAATCCAAAAACAAAAAAAATGACATTGTTTTCTGTCAGGAATGAACATTAAAGGGTTAAAGGAGCATGTATCAGAGTGCGAGGTGGAAGTATCCGTAGCAGTAAAAGGAGATTGTTCCTGTTATGCAGTTGTAAAAGGATAAAGTTTATGGGGTTTCCAGCTACTGTCTGATCAACTAGATAAGAATGACTAAGCTCTACAGAAATTGAGGCAAAATAGAGAGTACAATTCAAACTCCTGGTTGAGGTGAAACCGGTGGGTGAAGTGGATGGTGCTGCTGAGGGCATGGGGCCCCTGCTCTCACTCCAGTCACTGCTGTTAATGTGTAACTTAAGCAAAGACCATCTGAAGCCACTTTGCGTCTCCCTGGTGTTTCCCCACAACTACAAACTGCTCATGTTTTTTTGCTTCATTAATAATTTGTTTTTCTTTTTAGAGCCCACGTATATTGTGCCAAGATGTGTTGTACAGGCTTACTCAAGACCATGATGTTCATTTTCAATGGCGTCATCTTTGTAAGTGCAATTATTAACTTTCTGTACAGTGATGCATGGCGCCGTGGCAAGAGCTCTGGTGTGTGTCGTCTGGTGCACACCGGGGTAGTCTTGCACAGTTTTTCCAATGTGGTTTTACAGCAAATGGCAAATAAATGAATCTGAATCTGAATCTGAATCTGTGATGGTAGTTTAATATTTGATGAGAATAATGCAGTCATGGGCAGCTTTTCAGGCGGAGAGTTACTGTACATGTCTTTCAGTGCGATAGGCCTGCTGCAATAACCTGGATCTTGACCTATTGTTCATGGATTAGAGCAAACAATATACTTTTGCACATTTTGTCACGTTTAGAAATTTGATGGATTGATGTTTACACCCATAAACATGCAGATTTTGTATATATTTTTTCCTGAAAGTTCACACACAAAACCAAAGAGTTGGCTTGCACAAGTATTCATACATCACGAGTTAATACTTTGTACTCAATAGCAGCAGCAAGTATTTCGTGGGTATGACTTTGACACATATAGAGACAGAACGTTGAGCTCATTCCTCCTTACAAAACAATTCAAGTCTGATAAATTAGATGGAGAGCGTTTGTGAGCAGTTTTCAGGTCTTTCCACAGATTTTCCATTGGATTTGACTGGGCCATTCTAACACATGAACACAGTTACCATGTTGAGTGTAAACATGACAGAATGTGCAAAAGTTCAAGCTGTATTATTACTTTTGAGAAGCTCTGTATTGTCATTGTAACTGGTATCCTGCTTCATTGTATTGTTGTCATAGACATTAAGGAGTTTCATTATTATCTTTTATTTCTATATATTTCTGCGCCAATTTACTTATGAAGTTTCAAAATGTGATATTGTGTCAACTCCATGTATCAAAGGAGCAGTTTGTAAAAATCTGGCCAAAAGTGGTACTGCAACCTCTCCCACTCTCCCTGACTCAGGTTGCCAGATAAGCAGACAAATCCAGCTGGGACCATAATCTCTAAAAGAATTTTGTCAACAACAAATCTATATCCAACACCTTTTTCACAAAGATAGAAATCCTGGTTTTATTCCTTGTTTTGTCATTAATGATTTGAGAATCATAACAAGACCTATTTTTGTTCTGCGGCCATGTGTAACTTTACCAGTGAGATTAGCTTGGCGTAGTGAGTTCTGGCAACCTGGATAACGGACTTTCTGATTGGTAAAACGGTGGAGGGCGGGAAATTGAAATGAAAACAATGACAAGATTTAGGGGCTGTAAAACTATTTTTGAAATTTTAATATCTTGACTGAACTGCTGTGATCAGTCAAAGAAGTATTCAATAAGAGCATGGTTTATTAAGGCCTTCTGACAGATTAGGGCCATTTAATGATGAAAAATCTTAATTATTGCTACTTTAAACTCTAAAGTTGACCAATATCTCAAGGAAGTTCCTCTTGGGCTGTGTCTTGACTGTGATTGTGTTGCAGCTGGCAGGCGCGGCCATCTTGGCAGTGGGCATCTGGGTGCAGGTGGACAGCGGCTCCCTCCTGTCCATTCTGGGGGACATAAAAGATGCCCCCCCTGGCTTGGACCAGCTCGCTAATGTCAGCTACCTGCTCATCGCCGTGGGAGCCGTGCTGCTGGTGATTGGGTTCCTGGGCTGTTGTGGCGCGGTGAAGGAGAGCCGCTGCATGCTGCTCACGGTGAGGGGAGGGGTGTGAGTGGGGAGGGGGAAGGGGGGTGGTGTAGAGGGGAGGGCAGGTCAGAAGGGGCATCTCCAGGGATCCAGAACACTGACACATGGAGGAATCACGTATAAAGCACAAACTGTATGCACATGGACAAAGCTTACCCCCCTAGTTCAATAAATCCCGATAGAGAAGTGCTCAAGAACAAAGTTTGTCTCCAACTCGCTCTGCCTCGCAAAGCTAACTCCGTCAGAAAAAATGGCCTGGTGACTGAAAGAACTGCTCCTCCAGATGCAGTTAACATAATTGTGTTTAGGATTTGCCTTCAAAGTTTCTGTCCAAAGCGTCTATAACATATCAACCAAGATACAACATAAAATTAGGCAGAGACCAAAGCATCTGGATTTCACCACAGAAACTAGCAAGACTCATGTGATGCTCATTCTGCTCTCTGATTGGAGAATGTCGGCTTGAGAATCATAATGTTTTTGATCAAAACAGGCCAAGTGTGACTTAAACATGTTGTAAGTAATTTAATTTAATTTAATTTAATTCTTGCAGTCCATTTAAGTGAAACCTTCTATTCTCTGTGCATGTTATTGTTTTGTTGGGACCGTTTCATAGATTAGCGTAAATCTCCATGAAAACATGTGGACGACCATTTTGGGAAGAAACTCAAGAAATGATTAAATTAAAGTGAAATGGTTTTACTATATTATGAAACACCCGTAAATATAGTATTTTTGCAAATTTGGTCAAATGAAAATAAATGAATGTTGATGAATACATGAAAGAGCAAAAGTGAGATTGACGCGCACATCCAATTCTGAGCAGCGTGCTGGAGTTGAAAGACGATGGATGAAAGAAATGGAGAAGACTCTGCACAGCTTTTGCTCCCAAGTGATTTTAATTATCACCACAAACTGTTCGGGACACTGTCTGATGAAGGGTAGTGACCCGAAACGTCACAACAGTTTGTGGTGATAATTAAAATCACTTGGGAGCAAAAGCTGTGCAGAGTCTTCTCCATTTCTTTCATCGGATGAATACATGAAACTAACCAAACCCTAACTCTGTTTTCACTCAATGTTTCTTCAAAATGTTTCTTCAAATATTATGAAATATTTTTGTTGTTGTGTTATTCGTTTACTTCTCTAATTTGGTGAACAACGCCTGATCTTTAATTGACTAATTAACAAGACTCTGTAGGTCAGGGGTGTCAAACTGATTCAGGAGAGGGCCGGTGTGGCTGCAGGTTTTCATTCCAACCAAGTAGGAGCACACAGACACCTTCAAGCTGAGACTGGGCTCTCTTGAGGAGCGGTTTGACACCCCTGCTGTACGTGGACATCGTGGCTGTTAAGTGATCCCCTGTGTGGCCCTACATCCGTTAGTCTGCCCCAGGGCAACTATGGCTGTAAGAAAAGAGTACTTTCACTGTATAAGTACCAAAAGTGTAAGATGAAGAGCTTTATAGTGTTGGTAATAAAAATAATCCTACACTCCCAACCACCCAACAGACCCACCCCAAACAGACAACCGTATTTAGATTTCACTTTGCATTCATACACACACACAAACTCACACACACGCACACACACACACACGCACACACACACACACACACACACAAGGTAAAAACCAAGCTGATTTCAGGCAACACAAACACAACCAATTTAATGTTCTGTATTTTCTTCCTGGATCTTGCTGCCTTTAGTTCTTCAGTATCGTGCTGATCCTCTTCATCATCGAGGTGGCAGCAGCTATTGTGGTGCTTGTGTTCGATGATCTGGTGAGAGTCCGAAGCGTGCAACAATGGAAATAAGCAAAACCAAGCAATACTCAATCCATTCTTGACGCTGTTTGTGTTTTTCAGGCTGAACAACTCCTCAAAGGTCTGGAAGTTGAAGTGAGGGAAGACATCACCAACAACTATGGAAATAATAATCAAACTACAGGACTTTGGAATAACACAATGGAACAGGTGAGGAAATAATCTCTAACCAAATCTGAGTAAAAATAAGAATAATAATGCATTTTATCTATATTGCACCTTACTTTTGCTACAGTGCTACAGTTTACAATACAAAATGCAAATAAAAACATGAATTAAAAATCACATTTGTCTGTTTGTCCTCAGTTCAAGTGCTGTGGCTTTGCAAACTACACTGACTTTGAAAATTCTACATTTGTGAGTGACTTTCGCCGGTATCCGACTCCGTGCTGTAACGCCACCTACATTGATGGTGGCCCGTGTTTGTTATCAGGAGCAAAGGACTCGGTATAAACTTGTTATTATTGTGATTTTAAGATGAGACTGAGCATTGTGATAATGTTTGTATCTTGCCGTTCTGTCTCTTGCAGAAAATTACAGGCTGTTTTGAGACGTTGCTGGAGTTTATCAAGGAAAACGCAGTGATTGTTGCTGGTGTGGCTCTAGGTATCGCTGTTCTCGAGGTAAAACTGTCAATAATGTTTAGTAACATGTGGTCACTCAGTATAATCATCTTCACGCAGTATTTCATCATCTTCTTGTTGAGATGCTGTTTTTTTTTTCTTTAGCACGTTGAATGCCTCTTTTGTCTTTTCAGATTGCAGCTATGGTGGTCTCTATGGTTCTGTACAAGGACATCGGCCGAAAGGCGTAGTCACTGATGTCAATAACACTTCAGCACAGAGAAACCTGTTCTTCCCGTCTAAATGTCACTTATGATATAAAAAATATAATGTACATTTTATTTATGTTTATAAGGTGGATTGCTGAAACAAGAGAGATATTTTTTTGTAATGAAGTATGTCTGTCTAACAAAGCAATCTGAGATCATATTTGTTGCACATAAATCTCTGTTCTATGTACATTCTGCACATTATACTGAACGTGTAACCCTCAGGAGTACAGTAAAAGTAATCAGATTAATTGTTGATTTCCAAAATAGACATCCATTATTAGCAACAGGAACGTTCACAAAATCATCAGACTCCAAGACCTTGAGTTCAAAAGATGGTACGATTTCAAAAAGCTAAATTTTTGTTGATTTAATCCTTTTGTAAAAAAAGAAAAAAAAGAAAAAGGAAGTGTGCGTGCGTTTGTGTGTTTGTTTGTGTCTATGTGTATATGAATACTAATAAGTCATTTGAATGTATTTAATTTTTGTCACTGTCGACTCTTACACCTGTAAAAAAAATGCTGGTTCAAATGTTCAAGGAAATTATGAAAAATAAATGCTGGTAATTTATTTTGATAAAAGGCCTGAAATAGGCAAACGTCTCGTTGTGCAGTGCGCCCTCTTGTGGACAGATATTTTGTGCCGAGCTCATAAAGAACTCATAAAAGACAAATAGAGCTTATTCTAAAATATGACTTGTGATTATTGTAAATGTAGTGTATTATTAACAATAATATACTTGAATCATGTTCCTTTAGTTAATGTTAATTATATATAATAATAGTAATAATACTGTATATAATAATTCTGAATAAATAATAATTGTTAAATTGCTCTTTAGGCAGAGGAAAAACATTTTAAATGTTTCTTATTTTATATTGTACATTGAAATTGTATTCACAATTTCCCTTTTTTCCGTTTTTTCAAAGAACTATAAAGCAAATTTATAATTGTAAAAGGGTGGCTGGTGTATGGGAGCAGAGATGGGGAAACACACTCTTGCTGGATGTTGGAGTGTGTTACCCGGGATAGAGGTGATTTCCCGTGGGCGGTGGTTTTTGGACGTGAACAGGACTTTTGTGACAAAGAGAAAGTCAAACAGAGTCTCGTTGTGGCCCTGGGGCCGGGGACCCTTCAGCACCCACTGAGTGATCACGTCACGGCTGAGCACCCACATTCAGTCACAACTGCGTAATAATGACACATGAAGAGGCAGGCGGCGTCAGGCTGTGGGAACAAATGGCAAAGAACATTTGCACAAAGAGTGTAAAATTATTATAGCTTCTTGGCACAACATACAAAGGAAACAACTGAGCATTCATTTGGATTTTATGGGCTTATTTTACTTTATCAAAACAATTATACAACCTCGAGACAGCTGTGTTTATATGAATACTTAATAAACCAATGAAATATGAATTACAAATAGAAATAAATAGGTTGTTTTTTTGTTGCTATTTATTTCAACCTAAAGATACCAATAAAAGTTTGTGTTGGTCGCTACATCCAATTAAATAAATGATTGCAATGGTCAAACAATGTCATTTTAAATAATAAACAAGTAATTTTGTATTGATTTCTCATCATTCCTCATGTCAGTTCAGGAGGGTCTAAGGACAGAGATGATCCGGGACATGTATGGACAGTTATTATATTTGATGGACATTTGTCATCCTGCTCCGTACAAATGGTTCCTGTGTGTTTGCTTTTGCTGTGTTTGAACTGTTTGATTCTCTGATCTTTGTCCTCCGAGACGACTACTGTTGTGAAACCATTGCAGTGTATAATTTCTACATTTAAAACTATAATATACAAACAAATACAAAAAGTATACACACTATTATCTTACATCTGAATTTTGAATAATAAAGTGGTTAGTTTATCATTAGGTCATGCATTACAGAAGTTGCGTTGTTGCCACGCATCGATCCATCAATCTACTGAGTAAAAACAACAACTCTCTAAGTTCCCTTGTCATCTGTATTTCACTAACATTTCTCTCCATGGCCGAAGTCCATTACAGCTTCACTTGTGAATACAATAGGCACAATTACAGGCCTAGTTTATTCCAGTGTTGTTTTATGGCCATGTTAAAAAGCCCACCTTAATAAAAGTGTGATCCTTTGAGTCTGGCACTAATCCTCTACCTGGCCTTTAAAACTGGCTGGATGTGTACTGCGCTGTGGGAAATGTGACACCTTATCTGCATTAAAACCCAGGTGAGAATTGGCAGTTTTGTATATAAGCTCTCCCACTCTCACTCTGACAGCATGACAGCAAGGTTTCCATTTGCCTTGAACCAGAAATAAAAAACAAAACTACAGATTTTAAACATTTTTCTTATCACAAAAAAGCACGATGGCGTTATTTATCAGTGTTGTATTTCTGACTCTTGCAGCCGTTGCGATGCCAATCCCTCAGCATCTCTTGGACAGCATGCGCAGGGGCCACAGGCAGGAGTGGGAGGCTTCTGGCGAGGGTCCGGACGAGCTCATCCAGGGAGTAGTGAAGGTGGTGCAGCTGGACCATCGCGCTTTGGCCCAGGCGGGACTCTTCAGAAGGGGCCTGGGCTCCAGAAGGGCCCCCTCTCTGAGCTCCAGGCCCCCCCTCCCCTCCTTCCTCTCTCTGGGGCGTCCGGGTCCAGCTGTGGCCCCAAAGCTCTCCATGCCTCCACTGAAGCACCAGCAGGCCAGGGCCTCGTCCAGCGACATCAGGAGGAGGCAGGGGCTGCAGATGTGGCAGAAGGTGGTTGACAAAGGAAACAAGCAGAAAGTGATTCTTCCGAGCGCTCTAAAGGACTCCAAACAGACCTGTGCTGCCGTCTCTTTTACTCAGGTAAGGTCTTTTATCAGCGCTTGCGGCCCTAATTTGACATTTATGTTTCACAGTTTAAAGCAGACAGACATTTTGACAATACAAACACTTGTAGTGAATTATGTCAATCACATTTTCTACTACATTATAAATCACTTTATTCCCAAATGTTAAATATTTTATTTAATTAAATTTAGCTTAGAAAAAAAATCTTAACTTGTCTTGAGAAGTAAGTCCATTATGAACTATAACTGTAACACAAACATTATAACCACAAATAGGTCACTCTATTGATCCATGGTGGACAAACTCACCAGTAGTCATGTGACTTGAGACACACACACACACACACACACTCAGGTAAGACATATTAAAGTTGTGCTGCTCAATTTATATATCAGCTTTAAGAAATATATAAATGTATATATATATATATATATATATATATATATATATATATATATATATATATATATGACAAAAACACAACAATAGATACTGGAAAAAACAAAGCACAATTGACCTGGAAGTTTTATGTAAGTCTCTCCATTTTTCTGACAGAATATGAAATGGCTGAGCTCCTTTAACATGACAACCCACATCATTTCAAAGACACCAACCCTTGAGACATTAAATATAGTCCAAACAACATTGATATGACGAAGTCGCTGTGACCTTACAGATCTGAGTCTCTAAAAATAATGTGTTGTGTTTGTCCCAAGTCCAATTGGTGAAGGTCAGTGTCCACAATACCAAACTTTCAAACTACAAACAATGAAACAATAAAAAAGCCTCTTCCTCACTCTCAGAACAGTTAATCACATGCATGTCAACAGTTCTATCACATGCATGTATTTTTGGCATCTGTCACATCTTTAGCTCAGCTGTTTCAGACAAATATACTGTACACTCACACAGCCCACAGAATCAAATAGTGACTCTGGTATAGACAAACAATAACATGTTTTTTTACCAACCAATACTAGATTTGGTTTTTTACCAAACCAAATCTAGTATTAATTGAATTAAAATCTGGGTGCCCTATATTTAAGGTGATTTAAATAAATATTTTGAGGTCAAAATCCCAATTTCCTGTTGAAGAAAATCACACAAAAAATGATTATCTCATATCACCACCACTGCCAAAGCCACACACAATAAAATACAATAGAAAATATCTCAGTGTGTAGTTATAGATTCCATTGCCATCAAGAGCAAAAAAGTCTGATTTCTCATTATCGAATATTTCTGTGTGTTAATAGAGAGTGACCTCGGAGGGGTGCGAGACCGTGACCGTCCATAACAAACTGTGCTTCGGCCAGTGCAGCTCCATGTTCATCCCGGAGGTGGAGTTCTCCTCTCATCACCAGAGGACCCCCTGCTCCCGCTGCGCCCCGTCCAAAGTGCACACGCTCACTGTCCCACTGCGCTGCGGAGCTCTGGGGGTCCGCGACAAGAGGGTGATGCTGGTGGAGGAGTGCAAATGTGAAACAGGACGAGATGAGAGGGCCGCTGTAGGGGCCGGACCACATCTGTGACCGCTGCCAGGAGGCTTTTGTGGTTCGATAGGAAGTCTGAGAGGATATGTGTACTTGAAGAGTTTGACACCTCACCAGGGGAGGTTTTTGCCTCAAATATTCAACAGCAAGACACAGATTTAATCTCCACACAAACAAACACGGACTAAGTTAAAACACCTGATATTGGATGTTACATATATTTCAAGTGGAACATTCCAGACAAGAGCCTTGACTTTGTTATGGGACAAACAGGAGTCTACCGGAGACAAATAGTCCAATGAGTGTGTTTGTTTGCAAATGTGTGTGTGTGTGTGTGTGTGTGTGTGTGTGTGTGTGTGTGTGTCTCAAGTCACATGACTACTGGTGAGTTTGTCCACCATGGATCAATAGAGCGACCTATTTTTGGTTATAATGTTTGTGTTACAGTTATAGTCCATAATGGACTTACTTCTGAAGACAAGTTTAGATTTTTTTTCTAATCTAAATTGAAATGAATAAAATTATTAAAATGTCATCTTTTGGGAAAAAGTGATTTATAATGTAGTAGAAAATGTGAATGACATAATTCGCTACACTACAAGTGTTGTATTGTCAGAATGTTTGTCTGCTTTTAGCAGCGGTGATAAAAGACCTTGCCCTCCTTTTGAAATAGCTGCTCTGTGGGATTTTGCATTGATATTTGCATTTATTTTGTGCGTGTGCGAGTGTGTGTGTGTGTGTGTGTGTGTGTGTGTGTGCATGCGCATTCATGCGCGTGTTTGTGCGTGTGTGTGTGTGCGTGTGTGTGTGTGTGTGTGTGTGCGTGTGTGCGTGTGTGCGTGTGTGTGTGTGTGTGTGGACAAAAAAACGCTCACCCTCCACAGTTTTGCATGTTCCTTCTTCAATATTTTCCTATCACTTGGTATAACTATATTAACCCACAGTGGCATTCTTCAGCTCTTTGTCACCACTACAATGTTGCGTTTGTGTGTATCTGTAAGTCCTGCATGATCTTCACTTGCTCGATTACTACAACTTTTGATAAGGTAAACTTTATCGATCTCACAAAGGAAACACTTACAAGGTGAAGGTGTTCCACATTTTGGTCATGGGGTTTTCAGACCACACAGATCTTGACCACTATGCTAACCACTTGGTTATGGCGTTCCAGGTGGGCTTACTCTGCCAGTATCATACACCCATACAATTATGTGATGGATCGTCCAGGTGCCTCTTTGTACAACCGACACTTTGGGTCTTGTCTAGTGTGGTATATCTGGGCCTCTGTGACTGTGTGACTCTGGTGTGGTATATCTGGGCCTCTATCGCTCTGGTGCTCAGGGTCTGCTCCTGTGCAGCCATGATGAGTGCCTCTGTGCTGTCCTGTAGGCCAGCCATTTTTAGCTATGGCCTTTCCCGTTCCATGTATAGGGGCAAGTGCCGAGCACGACATCCATTGAGGCCTTCTCTTTGAGGTATCCATGGAGTTCTTATGTTTTATTCTGGATAGTGGCTCACGCTAGTCCTCAACCTCCTTCCTCATGGCTTCTGTAATGTTTCAGGGTACAGGATTTAGGATTGAACATGGTTTTGAGTTAACATCTGATCACTGGTAGGGCGTAGCTACATGGCTTGAGCCTGGTTCTTTCCATTGAGATGATTTGTTGTGACTTGCCTTACAATTTACAGGCAACAGGTAACACTATGATTACCACTAATCAAAGCTTTCTGAAATGTTGACCTGATAGCAGGTTTCACTTTTTCTAAAGTGATAACAAGCGTCCATTTGACAAACACAACTGTCGAGCCAAAACGACTGTTCTAGCATGGACTCTTAAATTATGTATAGAAGCCACCTATTCTCCGTGTGGGAATGTGAGGCCTCCTTCGGCACAGATGCACTTAAGTGATAATGTCTGTATGCGCTTTGTGTCGGCGTTAGCGCTCATGCAAACTATTATTCATTCATACACTGGCACCTGGGCTCGCTAGCATGAACGCATCATCTCACATCTTCACGTACATTCCCAGAAGAGCATAAAGAAGGGGGCTCTTTACATTGCTTTGGCATGCAGTCAGAATGGCTGCTTAGATGGCCATTAGTATTCACGTGGCTTTTTAGGGGGGAAAAAGTGGAAGCGTTCATTGCACTACGGGGGTGTATTGAGTCCCTCGATTCCATTAGCATGTGAATAGCATCTTGCATTGATGGCTATATTTCCATGATTGATGAGACAAATATTTGCCTAGGTATTTAATATGTAGAATTAGGGGACACTTTCAATCAATTATGGTGTTCTCAGCACACTCAAGAGATTCGTAACTGACCATGCTATTACATATAAGCGCCTAATTTTACCTATAGGTACTTTAATCATTGTGAGTGCGTGTGACTGGGCACGCCAAAGTCCTCTCACCTTTTGTCTTAATTTGGGCGTAAAAAAAACACAAGCATGTAAATGGGAGGGGGAGTTGTTGATTGAACAAACAAGGTGCACAAGAGACTGCACCACTTAGCAAGACAGATGTCAGGCCCCTTTGCATTGTGGGATGGGGCAGAGCACTCCTGCGTCATTAAGGATGGCCTGGTTCCCATGGCGAGAGGAAAGGAAAGGAGCGAAAAGAAGCAGGGCCTGGTGCCAAGTTCAACGCCTCAGGGATCGGATCAGCGTCACGGGGCGCTAAGTGGCCTAGTTAGCGCTTTAAACGCACAATGAGCTGCCTGCTCTTTCTCTGTGTATGCACGCCTTTTAACTGTCAGATAGGGAGCTGCAAGGAGGTGGGCCTGGAGGATCACTGATGAGGAACAAGACGCACAGTTCAGGAATATTGGGACTAAGATAGAGCTAATTATGATCTTCATAACCAATCACATTTACTTTTTGGTGGTTTGGATTCAATTACGCGTTTTCATTTTAGTAATCAGGGTCCGGAACTGAAGAGAAACAAATTAGGGGTTGGAAAATATTGTGGATATTTCTGATTCTGCCTTATAAATAACAGTTACTCCAACAATGGGCAGTTAAGATTACATAGAGAAGTGGCAAATTGTCTGCAAACAACACTGACAAAACACAATTCAAAACAGAGACTGCTATACACTTCCTGGGGTTTAGTAGTAGGGTTGTAGTAGTAGTTGAGTTAATGCCACTTTTGCTAAGAACCAAAGAAAACTAAATGAGTGTAGATTTGTGTTTTTTAGTTGAGCCTTTACCCCAGCCTGTGTTCAGGTGAGACTCTGTGTAGACCACTGCTCTGCCCGCTGATAAAGCCATGCAAACAGCACTCGCACTGGTGTTAGTCCGAACCAGCTGGTCAGAGTTGGATGGGCTGGAGCTTGTGCCCCGGGCCATTCAGGCTGGCGGCTGCTCTCTGCCAGATTGTCTGCTGGTGCTGAGGAGCTCACAGATAGGTGTAGCCTGCGGATTGAGCCTCATCAAAGTTTGCAATTGGATCAAATCCTACTTTGTCCTCAGGATGTGTTTGTTAAACAGCATTAAATTGCAATGAAAAAAACAAACAATAGGCTACACAAATTGGAACTTTTGAACATTGGATCAGTAAGAAAGTCAACAACAATACAGTGGAATGAGGCTTCAAGAAGAATAGCTATATTCCTTCCAAATGTACCATCCACCATGCACGCTGAGGTCTGAGAGTCAGCTCCAGCGGTGACTTAAAACAGGGCCATCTACAGGGCCTTCTCTGTAGCTTATCCTAAAGGCTGTGGATCTGCGCTTTTAGTCTCTGTGTAGCAAATAAATAAACAAATGAACAGAGAGTGTCTTTAAAAGTATGACCCAGAAATACAGATAGGTCAATCAATGAAAGGCCATGATCTCTTAGTAAGTTTATCTATTACTGCTTTTTACTTCCTTTCAACATAACTGCATTGCAAGTTCACACAGATTTCACGTGGAGGACATCCATTGTTCCCATTTTGTTTAGGCCGTTAGCCGCAAAATGAATGCCAATACAGTCCATCAGTGGCATTGGAATGATAAAATACAAGTAGAAAAAAAGGCCACGACAACTACTGCACTAACCAGTATCCTTTGGAACTGCAGCATTGTGCACGGTCAGTCGGTCTTTGTGCATAAAAGGTCCTGGTCCAGCACACACCTGGACCCACATAGAAGGGGCAGGCAACTAGCCACTTCAAAGGGAACTCTACCAAGCCATTGAGACCCAAGATGGCAGCCAATTCCACTCAATGGACTCAGAACTACCTACCAGGGACGAGGGGGACGTGTTCTGGTTTCTAGTTCCATAGTCATAATACCCTGTGCAGGTATTTTAAAAGATCCATACGGTTAACGGAAGGTAAAAGTTTGCATATAGCGCCTCCTGGCATGATCTCATATCAACAAGTAATCAACAGTCCAGGATCAATGTTCGAGCAGGGTTTAAGTCAGGGTTCAAGGTTGAGAAGTGGTTGACAATGGTGAGAAGGCAGCATTAACATTTTTGGACGATCCATGGGGTTGGAAGTGTACTCTCCGATTGCACATTATGGTATTTATTTGTTTAATTTGACTGATTTTATTGTGGTTGTAACATACCAAACTGTTGTTGTGACCTTAGGCAAGACACTTCGCCCACTTGCCTCTCTTCCATAAATCTAGTGAATTGAGTGAATTAATTATGCAAAAAGTGAAGACATGTGAAAAGTCTTTAGGTGTTATAAAAATCATGCATAATGGATAATATAGCCTACATTATAAAAATCAGCCTTCTCCTGTATGGACTCAGAACACCTCATAACTCATCACCCCCTGCCCTTTCTGACTGTTACTTTATGCTACTGTCACTGTTACTGCACTGTTAAATGTCTAAAGTCTTTTTTATGCATGCCTTCTGCTGTCATGACTTGTTTTATTTACTTGTGTGATTTTATTCATATGTTTTTAATATCTCTTGTTTCTTAATGTTTGTTTTTAATCGTATGTTTTGATTGATGTAGATTTTAATGTTTATGATTTGCTTGATGTGATATGGGTTGTGAGGCGCTTTGTGTTGCCTTGTTTAGGAAAGGCACT